AACTAAATCTTCTTTTCCAGTGAAGTGAAAACCAGCAGTATATCAACTGAAGACAAATCAGAAGAGCAGCCTGTGTAAGTGTCACATCTTCTGACCCTGCTTTTGTAACACACACACCCCTCAGAACTCCCAGTTTACAAAAAATAAGTAGGTGACCCTTTACAAGGATCCGTAGCGCAAAAAGAATTGCATTGCAACGCTGAAACTGAAGAGACAATAAAATGTGAGATGGATAAATAGAGTAATTGTGGGTGGAAATATTTACCTTTCCTGGAGAAAACGCTGCTCCAGACTCCCTCCATTGCTGATCACTTGACCTAAAGCTTCAAATGTGGTCAGCTGAACCCTGCTGAAGAAGAGCTTCCACCAATCTGAAATTTTAGCCTTCCTTTTTAGTGAAGATGACGTGTTTGAATGGCTAGGCTTTTGGTGGAGTGAGAGCCCTGGAGGATTCTTGGAGCAGCATTATCCTCCAGGTAAGTGTTTCAAGCATTGGGTTATTGGTTATTTATGGGTGATGGGGACTGGTTATGACTACAGATGGGGTCTTGATTAGTCTGTACATGGGGCAGTGGGGTAAAAATAGGTCAGTGCGGGCAGAATAGAGAGATGATGACCGAAATGGCTTGATGACTCCTCTTCTAGTCTTCCTATAGCCTTCACAGTAGGTGGGATTGGGAACACCTTGCTCTGACAGTTGAGAGGAAGGTGTTTCTAGTTTCTCTAGTGGCCTTGCTCTACATCAACAGCCGCAGTAGATCTGCTCCGTGTCCTTTTTTGGCTTCATTTTTAGAAGGTTAGGAGTGTGATTTTAGTTTTGACATCTTTGAGCTGTGGTGGAAGTTAAAGAAGGATTAGTATAGATATAGAATTTGTTGGTGTGTTACAAAAGATTTGAGTTCCTCCATACTAAGAGGAAAAGCCTGTTTTCCCAAGAGAAGCTTATTTCCTGTATTTAACAATTAAATATTTCACATACATGTGCGTGGAGACACTCAGAAGATTTTGTGTCTGCTGGAAGCACCAAGCGTCCCGGACATGGGAGCCTGTTGTAGATGACAGATAAGCACACAGCTGGTTCCCTCTGATAGACTATTGTCACTGCTCCATTGGAGGAAGGAGTGGAGGGGAATTTCAGTCAGCCTTACGCAAGAGCACTCTTTCATTCTGACAGTACCATGTCAAAAGGGGGAAAACAATTTTTTTTTTTTTTTTAAGGATAGAGTAGGGAGTCTTTAAATTCTCTGACAGCTGTTTTGATGATTGTGTCCCGTTGGGAAAATTTCCTTTTACAGCATGAAATCAGTCAAAAGTGAAGGAAATTGCATCTTAGACAGTTGTCACTGGAACAAAAGTCACCAATTAGGGCTCATGCACATGGCCAGATAAAAATGCAGCAGCTTTTATGCAGGATCTTGCTGGCAGCAAGGTCTGAATCAGGGACAAGTGGGGTAGAATCTAATGCTGTTAGCTTCATGACACTGATATTTTGACAATGCATGAACTGACATGGGGGGTGGAGACAGAATGGTTGTATTTGACTCTCAGCTTCTCTTACTGAGCAATGGTTGTGTACACTGTGGGCCTTTGGGGTTAGACTACCAAAGTCTATGTCTATTTCAACCATCCGTTACATGTTTGACAACTTGGCCCACTTTTCCATTGGTGTAGCTCTTGTTTTATGGCTCTCTGCCTTCCCTACAGCTCCTGGGCTAATCTTGTCCCATGTTGTCTTCTCCATTGTATTCCCATTTTTTTTTCCCAGAAAAGGATGTCTGACTTTGATGTATACAGACTGAATTTGGTTTAATATCCTATGGAACATTACTGTCTCCTGAGGAAGTGAACGCTGCGTCACGAAACGCGTGTCAGGATATCATTTGTCTAGCTTGTGTATACACAATCATGCCACTAACCATCATATTTTGATATGCCCTTTGGCATTTTATTATGTTTTTAATCATCTATTCATGTGAATAATTTTTTTGGATTTTTATTCTTTGTTTTGGTGTTGTTTAAATAAGTGTAGTTTCTCTAAAATCCCATGGGCATTTTTTGTAAGTGAGAGATGTATTTGATTGGCCCCAGTCAATTTATACACCAGAATTAATACCTCCTTTCACCGGCCATTAGAGTGGACCTGATGGGGGAACTGCAACACCCTATAAGAATGCTGGTTCTGCCTCCCATGTCCATTCATGCTTTGTGAAAATATCAGCATCATGACACTGAGAACAATAGACTCCCTCTCCCTCATCGTGCACGCGGACTTTATGGGAAAATGAGTGCCACAAGAACAGTTCATAATGCAATATACAGTATACAAAAAGCACTGCATGCGAATAGTGGATTGTGGGTGCAATGTCAGGCTTCTGCACATTGTTCCTACAGCTTTCTGCCCATACCTTTTTATGGGCTTTCAGTTGTAGAGCCTGGGAAGTGTGAATAGACTAGGAGTGTGCTGATTACTGCACTCGTATTCCAGTGAAAACTATAAGTCCGTCTGCCATGGGTGGCTGCTGGGACTTGTAGTTCTTTCACAAATCTCTTGCAGAATTATAAAGTGACACTGGCTGTTGTAACTTGGGGGGAGTGCATTGTGAAGGGGGTGGGGTTGCTTGTAACATAGTGCTAAAGCTGACATTACAGTTTATGTATTACCTCACCTGGTAAACAGCCCATTCAGTTTAAAACTGAAGTGAAAGGCAAAACATTTGTGTATACATATAAAAAACATTATATGTAATGACTTCCTAGTGAATGGCTGTGCAGAGGGGGCATGTCAGCATAAATCTGATCATTGGAGGAGAGCAGGCTGCATTGCCAGCATAGCTAGAGAACAGACCACACTGTTCTCTCATGACTAGTGTGGTCAGTTTTTGATAGGAAGCAGAGGGACTGGCAGGAACACCAGGGATTTCACACAAAGGAAGCAATACAAAGAGAACAGGATACTTTTTCATATATGTACTTGGTGTAACAGGCACATATCAGGAATTTGGAATGCTGGGTTTACAAACTCTTTAACCTTTAAGGAAGCTATGCTGGCAGCTCCCACCAGCCGTGATCTTCCTGCATTGCATAGGGAAGTACAGAAACCCTGTCATGATGTCACTGGATCTAAAATAAGGTATATAATAACAGATTTTTTTTTTTTAATAATAATTTCATCAGCATGTTGATCATAGGGAGGGAGGACCCAGCGACCACTAATATAAACCTATTAAACTGCAGCTTTAACACTTATTGATGGGATTATTTACATTTTATATCGAACATAAACATAAGTGTTCTAGTTCCCCTTTCAACATTTTGGCACATTTTGTGAAGCAAATGAGCCATCGTACAAAAAAAGATGAAAATTAAGAGAAGTCACTGAAAAGGAACAACAGATACAAACCATCTTAAAACATGAGATGGCATTTGTACAATAAAAAGACACTTTTCCCTTAAAACTGAACTCAAGGCAGATGTACACAATTCTTTATTCATCCATATGTTTATGGGTTTTTTTTTTTTGGTTTTTTTTTTAAATCTGGGTAGTGTAAGTACCTGAATTTGACTTGGTATGAGCTATGAGTGACAGATGAGCTCCTTAGTCTGCATCTTTTCCATTAAATACCCAGTCATAGTCTAGGGCAGCAATGGGCAAACTACGGCCCGCGGACCTTTTAATCCGGCCCGCGGAGCGTGATACTGTCAGGATGGCTGTTAGGATGTGTGTAGGTGGGGCAGCGTGACGAACGTGAGGGGAGGGGAGCTAGGCTCCTCTCACAGTCCTCTCACAGGGGGGACTTGGGGACTTAATATGGGGGATGAATTAATATGGGGGATGAATTAATATGGGGAATGAATTACTATAGGGGGGATGAATTACTATAGGGGGGATGAATTACTATAGGGGGGATGAATTACTATATGGGGGATGAATTACTATAGGGGGATGAATTACTATATGGGGGATGAATTACTATGGGGGATGAAGTACTATGGGGGATGAAGTACTATGGGGGATGAAGTACTATGGGGGATGAAGTACTATGGGGGATGAAGTACTATGGGGGATGAAGTACTATGGGGGATGAATTACTATATGGGGGATGAATTACTATGGGGGATGAATTACTATGGGGGTACTGAATTACTATGGGGGATGAATTACTATATGGGGGATGAATTTCTATATGGGGGATGAATTTCTATATGGGGGATTCATTACTATGGGGGATTCATTACTATGGGGGATTCATTACTATATGGGGGATGAATTACTATATGGGGATTCAATTACTATATGGGGGATGAATTACTATATGGGGGATGAATTACTATATGGGGGATGAATTACTATATGGGGGATGAACTACTATGGGGGATGAACTACTATGGGGGATGAACTACTATATGGGGGATGAACTACTATATGGGGGATGAACTACTATATGGGGGATGAATTACTATATGGGGGATGAATTACTATGGGGGATGAATTACTCTATGGGGGATTAATTACTATGCTTACTAAGGGGGAATATTACTATACTTACTATGGATGACACATACACATCATTCATCTACTCTTGGTCCGGCCCCCAGGTCCAATATATGAACCCATTGCGGCCCTCAAGTCAAAAAGTTTGCCCACCCCTTGTCTAGGGGATGGACAAGGTAGGTGTTACTTGACTTCAGCAGAGAAAACCAGGTCTCCGACCACTGCCAGACAGGCCTGCGATGTGTGGCAGAACTGTGTAAATCTCAGAACTGGACAGAAATACAAATGGATTAGCGGGTAAAACAGTTCCCATCTATGCATTTCATCTGTGTTTTAAGCTGTTTGCCTGGAGTTCAACTTTAGTTTTTTTGGCCAGCATAATTCTCCCTGCTGTCTTGATTCCTAGCAGAAACTTGTGTATGTCGAAGTATAAATAATAATAGCAATGTAAGGTGTCACTCCGGAGAGTCCATGTATTGTCTACAATTCTCTCTGCATTTCTTTCAGATCACCTGTACAGAAATCAAGCAGTTTAGACAACCTTAAAAAGACGCCGGAAAAGGTGAGAGTTATTTAGTCCAAAGGGATTTGCATGAAAAACCAATCCGTTTATGTGGTTTAAATTTCCAGATTAGAAAATGGGAAAGAGAAGTTTGTTATAAGGAGCACCAAATACTTAAATTTTCATCACAAAGACCGGTTTTTTTCACCCTTTTGCATTTTTTAAAATTTTATTTATCCAAGTAATTTTTCTAATTTCTTCTTTTTTTTCTCCTCTTAATTTTGGCTTTTTTTTCTTTGCTTTTAATTTTTTTTCTGTTCTTTTCCTTTCTCTGTCTCTCTCCATCTTCTCTTTCCATTCCCCTTCTCACCCACTCTCCTCTCTCTTTCAGTTCAGATACGCTTTATTGCAGATGTATTATATCATTACCAAAGCAATTAATAGGTTGATTTTGGGAAGGGGGTGATATTTAGATATACAGATAGATAGAGATTATATATACAGTGGGGCAAAAAAGTAGTCAGCCACCAATTGTGCAAGTTCTCCCACTTAAAAAGATGAGAGAGGCCTGTAATTGGCATCATAGGTAGACCTCAACTATGAGAGACAAAAATGAGAAAAAAAATCCAGACAATCACATTGGCTGATTTGGAAAGAATTTATTTGCAAATTATGGTGGAAAATAAGTATTTGGTCAATATCAAAAGTTCATCTCAATACTTTGTTATATATCCTTTGTTGGCAATGACAGAGGTCAAACGTTTCCTGTAAGTCTTCACAAGGTTGCACACACTGTTGCTGGTATGTTGGCCCATCCTCCATGCAGATCTCCTCTAGAGCAGTGATGTTTTGGGGCTGTCGCTGGGCAACACGGACTTTCAACTCCCTCCAAAGGTTTTCTATGGGGTTGAGATCTGGAGACTGGCTAGGCCACTCCAGGACCTTGAAATGCTTCTTACGAAGCCACTCCTTCATTGCTCGGACGGTATGTTTGGGATCATTGTCATGTTGGAAGACCCAGCCACGTTTCATCTGCAATGCCCTTGCTGATAGAAGGAGGTTTGCACTCAAAATTTCACGATACATGGACCCATTCATTCTGCCCTCTACATGGATCAGTCGTCCTGGTCCCTTTGTGCAGAAACAGCCCCAAAGCATGATGTTGCCACCCCCATGCTTCACAGTAGGTATGGTGTTCTTTGGATGCAACTCGGCATTCTCTCTCCTCCAAACACGACGAGTTGTGTTTCTACCAGACAGTTCTATTTTGGTTTTATCTGACCATATGACATTCTCCCAATCCTCTTCTGGATCATCCAAATGCTCTCTAGCAAACTTCAGACGGGCCCAGACATGTACTGGTTTAAGCAGGGGGACACGTCTGGCACTGCAGGATATGAGTCCCTGGCGGCGTAGTGTGTTACTGATGGTAGCCTTTGTTACGTTGGTCCCAGCTCTCTGCAGGTCATTCACTAGGTCCCCCCGTGTGGTCCTGGGATTTTTGCTCATCGTTCTTGTGATCATTTTGACCCCACGGGGTGAGATCTTGCGTGGAGCCCCAGATCGAGGGAGATTATCAGTGGTCTTGTTTGTCTTCCATTTTCGAATTATTGCTCCCACAGTTGATTTGTTCACACCAAGCTGCTTGCGTATTGCAGATTCAGTCTTCCCAGCCTGGTACAGGTCTAGCTCTTTGGTCTTCACCATAGTGGAGTTTGGAATGTGACTGTTTGAGGTTGTGGACAGGTGTCTTTTATACTGATAAGTTCAAACAGGTGCCATTGATACAGGTAATGAGTGTAGGACAGAGAAGCCTCTTAAAGAAGAAAGTACAGGTCTGTGAGAGCCAGAAATCTTGCTTGTTTGTAGGTGACCAAATACTTATTTTCCACCATAATTTGCAAATAAATTCTTTCCAAATCAGCCAATGTGGTTGTCTGGATTTTTTTTCTCATTTTGTCTCTCATAGTTGAGGTCTACGTATGATGCCAATTACAGGCCTCTCTCATCTTTTGAAGTGGGAGAACTTGCACAATTGGTGGCTGACTAAATACTTTCTTGACCCACTATATATATATGTATTTATATATGTGTGTCTCTCTCGTTAAAGTTGAAACTACATTTTCGCATGGACATCTGTAATAATTTAATTGCTTTGCCTCCCTTAGAAGCTGGCTTCTCCAGATTCCGGAAAGTTTGAGACCCTCCCGCCGAGACCCCCTGGACACAGCACTGGAGGGGAAGAAGAGGTCTTTGGCACCCGTAAAGCCAGGTCATCATTTGGTCGTGGGTTTTTCAAGCTGAAAAGCAACACCAAAAAAACTGCCAGCACGCCAAATCTAGGTAGGCAACTAACTGTGTTTCATGTTAATTTTGCAGCCTAACTGCTGACAGGGATTAACATTTGCTGAGACTTGTAGTTCTTCAGAATTGTCTCGTGGAATAGCCCAGAAACGAAAACCTACAAGTCAATATAATGACACACCACCTCACCATCATCTGGGTTATTTTTCGTAGAAAACAGTAGCTCTGTCTAACTCCATCCATCAGTGCGGTGAATTGTCTTCTTACTAAAAATGTTCCATGGTGTAGCATGATGTTCATATACTGTGACAACGAGCCTCTGATTACACTCCAGAGCTGGTTCATTCTATGTCCAGGGAAGACTTTACATGGAAGCTTTGTGTGGTTTTGGCCAAGTCCTATTCTGTAACATTTTGTATGATTTTAGGATGTTCCCATGCTTGTTGTACCACACTTCCATTACTGTATAACATGTAGGTTATAATCACACATCTGCTTTTTTCTTTTCTTCTAATGCAGCACATTTTATCATATAGAAGGTGTGTTTTACTGTGAACCACACCAAAAATTGTGCAGCATTCCCTATAAAAAAAAAACAATAGCACTTATCTGCTCCACCCGCTCTGTCAATCTTCAACATCTGTAAAACCCTGTATACACGATCAGAATATTGTACGGAAAATGACGCTTTTAAAGCAATTGTACGATTATCTGATCGTTTGTACACGGCAATCATCCAAAAATAAATAGAAAGGACAAGCATGAAAACCAGTACAGTAGTCACACTTAACCAGTACAGTAGTCACACTTAACCAGTACAGTAGTCACCCGAAAATACAATACAAATTCTTTACATTCTTCAGAGCATGCAGAAATAAACGGATGATCATTCGTCAGATATTCTAAACGTGTATACTGGGCTTAAGGGCTACACAGGCTGAAATATCTGTAGCATCTGACACCTCCAGCAGTGCCGGGTGTCTGGTTCCCCTCTGAGCTCTGTGGTTTCTTTCAGTGGGGAACCAGGCATTCGACACTCCCCAAAGTGTGTCAGGTGCCTCACATTTTTTAGCCTCTTGTATCTTGTTTTGACAGCAGAGACAGGTAATTATTAGCTCTTTACATTGCAGAAAGAACTTTTTTACATCAGCAAAAAAGTTGATTCAACACCCAACAGATTTTTTTTTTTTTAAGTTGCACACTGGTCACTCTCATTGTAAGGAAATTGTGCAGTGTATGTAGTGGGTTCAGTATTTCCTTGTATTTTATTAGTATCTTTATTTTTAACACCTTTTATCTTAAAGTCCAATTGAATGTTCAGTCTAAATTTGCTAAATACATTACAGGTGCAGCAAAACATAAGGCACTCAATATCTTACAGTCCTATTTGAAAGCAGCCATAGACTGTAGAAAGAGTATTAAGAGCTTTTTCCCTGTTAGAATACTGCCGAGAAGGACACTTGCTCTCTTGTGGAAGCAGTGGTCTCTCTGCAGAGGTTCCACGCATCCCCTGCTAAGTCATAGTAAAGCTTATCAGCTTACTGATTAAAGAGCTCTAGCTGTGATCTGCAGAGAGACCCCTGCTTCCACACTGATCAAAGGTCAATGCCTGCAACATGCTGGCAGGGGACATTCTTGTCTCACTTAGGCAACTGATGCTTTCTAAAGGAAAAGGAAATGCAAGACTTCTCATACTTTTCTTTTGATGCACCTGGAATGTATTTGGCTGATTAATTTAAACCGAAAGTTCAATACGGCTTAAAAAAAAAAAAAAAAAAAGTACAATTTAGCACCGTGTGAAACATTCTTGTGAAATTCAAATTTATGTGTGAATGTCTGTGTGGGTGTTAAAAGAGCATTCTTTGAGCAGTAGTTCTTATTCAAATGGGGAGAGTGGAGCTGTGTTCAAGTTAAATTGCCTGTCTCTTTCTGTGTTTCTGCCTTTTGGGCTTTCTGTAGTAAAAAACTGTCTGTATTGCCTACAGCCAAACATTTGATTCCAACGTCAGTTGTCATTTTCCTTGGCTGTTTGAATCTGATTGTTTTTTGATTGGTTGGTACAGACAGTTATACATCCTAAGACCTGGATAGGCAAAGGATTCTTGTATGTGTCTCTTGCTCCCCCTACTGTTCTCTTTCAGTATTTTTAAACATCTCTCTACATACTCTCTTCCTCTGGGCTGCGTACGATTTTGCACACTTAATGGAATTTTGAAGATCGCAGCCGAAGTGCCAGCGCCCCCACCTTAGGTATAGTAAAACTGCATGTCTCCAAACAAAAAAAACCCTCTGTGCTGTGTTTCCATCATCCCCTAACCCTATCGTTTTGCCGCCTAGCTAAACCCAACTAGAAAATCAAACCACCCCCTACACCATCACTAATGTGTGTTTTGAAGCCTTTAGCTAATGTTGATGTTAGTAGTCTCCAGTACACTTACATGCCTAGCTGCCCAGCTAATCTAGCTACATCTTGTGTCCAATATGAAAATTTGCTGAGCTGTTTTGTATTTGTAATATTTGTTGCTTTAGGGCAATTCCACCAAAACTGATGTTCCTTTTATGTGTGGTTGGGCGCATTTACATTTTTGCAGCACATTTAACACTTGTTAAGGCAGCAATTTGACGTGAATGGGAGGCCAGTGCACCCTGATATGCTGAAAATAAGAAGTGACCCTTTTTTGCAGAGAAACACAAGTACATTGCTTTAATGTGTTGGGGTGCCATTGCTTTTAGCCTCTTGGAGAATCCAGCAATTAGCCTCACCTAAATGCTTAGTGTGTTATGTTCCGCTAATGGGACACTCCACAATGTAGAGCGAATTAATAATTTGGGAGTCCGGTTGTAAGCATATGACTTTTTCCTTATGATTTTGTTGAAGAGTACCAATATGCAAACCACTGTACAGGAGGCTTGCTGCTGAAGTCTTCAAGAGTCCTAAAGTGGAACTATAGGCAAAGCTGAGAATGACATACTCGATACTGTATGAGATGCAGTCTGTCAATATCAGTTTTCGTTTTTGAGTCCCCCTCTAACATAGTTTTTTTTGTTTTAACCCGTTACACCTGCAGTATATCTATTATTTTCCCTCTTCCCGTAACAGGTGGCTTGACAACATTTTGTTCTGTATTAAAATCACACACCAGCATTGTCACCCTGTGGACAAGTCATTTCAAATGGGCTTTACATAACAAGTGTAAAAGCTGAAATCCAGCTAATCCTTTTAAACAGCAACAGGTTTCTTTTCTTTGTGAAAAAATGTTTAAACTGTGTGTGAATAGAAACTGATTTTTGTAGCAGCCCCTTGATATTGTTATATGGTTTGTCCTAATCCTTGTAACTTTCACTTTTACTGCACAGCTTGGCCTGTTATAGAAAGTGGGAAAATAATTGATCTACTAATAAAAATACTCCATGGGGGAACTTGAAAAAACAAAAAATTGCTGTTTTAATAGACTGCATCATAAATCTATTTTTTTTAATTTCTTATACAGTTGTGACCAAAATTATTCAACCCCCACTGAAATTGAGTTGGCCAGTTTGACATTGCTTTTGATCATTCAGTCATCTTGCTTACATTTACATTAAAGAGGCACTTGTAGGTCAGACAAATATAACATAACAGTTATAATGAAATAACCACAAATGTCTTTTCTGTGCTCACAGCATTATCAGTTTTATTCAACCCCCAAGTGACATTCAATCTTAGTACTTAGTACAGCATCCTTTTACAGTTATAACAGCTTTTAAACGTGAAGCATAGCTTGACACAAGTGTCTTGCAGCGATCTACGGGTATCTTCGCCCATTCTTCATGGGCAAAGGCCTCCAGTTCAGTCACATTCTTAGGCTTGCGCACTGCAACTGCTTTCTTTAAGTCCCACCAGAGGTTCTCAATCGGATTTAAGTCTGGTGACTGCGATGGCCACTCCAAAATGTTCCAGCCTTTCCTCTGCAACCATGCTCTAGTGGACTTGGAGGTATGCTTGGGATCATTGTCCTGTTGAAAGGTCCAACGTCTCCCAAGCCTCAGGTGTGTGACGGACTGCATCACGTTTCCATCCAATATCTCCTGGTACTGAAGAGAATTCATGGTACCTTGCACACGCTGAAGCTTCCCTGTACCTGCAGAAGCAAAACAGCCCCAAAGCATGATTGACCCTCCACCATGCTTCACAGTAGGCAAGGTGTTCTTTTCATCAAAGGCCTTGTTCTTCCTCCTCCAAACATAGCGTTGATCCATGGGCCCAAACAGTTCTAATTTTGTTTCATCAGTCCACAGAACACTATCCCACAACTTTTGTGGTTTGTCCACATGGCTTTTGGCATACTGCAGTTCTTCTTATTCTTTGGAGACAGCAAGGGGGTACGCCTGGGAGTTCTGGCACGGAGGCCTTCATTACGCAGTGTGCGTCTTATTGTCTGGGCTGAAACTTCTGTACCCACATCTGACAAATCTTTTCTCAGTTCCTCAGCAGTCACACGGGGACTTCTCTCCACTCTACGCTTCAGGTAGCGCACAGCAGTCGAAGTCAGCATCTTCTTTCTGCCACGACCAGGTAGCGTTTCAACAGTGCCCTTTGCCTTGAATTTGCGAATGATGCTTCCTAAGGTGTCTCTTGGTATGTTTAACATCTTTGCAATCTTCTTATAGCCATTGCCCTTCCTGTGAAGAGAAATCACCTCTTCTCTTGTCTTCCTGGACCATTCTCTTGCCTTCACCATGTTTGTAACCACACCAGTAAATGTCTAGAAGGAGCTGAGTATCACAGTCATTTTAAAGCTGCCTAATTGGTGCTTATTATGCTTGATTGCTGCTCGGTGACATCCACAGGTGTTTTCAATACCTGATGGAAAGCACCTGTATGAACCTCTGTTCTTCAGAGTGGTAGTCTTTAAGGGGTTGAATAATTGTGGCAATGAAGAAACCACATAAGAACCATTTACTACTGTATTACATAAACAATTGATGTCATTTTAGTTGCATTTGGGTAGTTACAACGTCCTTGTAGGATTTGATTCTGAATACAATTCCAAATGTACACTATAGTCCCTAAACCCCTTTACAGCATTGGGGGTTGAATAATTTTGGTCACAACTGTAGCTCCACTTTAAGAAACCAGGTGTGATGTAAACCACCCAGAGCTGGAACCTCAGTTTTTGACGGAGTTAACTATATAGATGTTTGTGATTTGTTGTTCTTGCAATGTACTGTGACCTGTTTGAACACCGGAATTGCAGATTTATGTCCGTAGGGCTCAGCTCCAGTTCACACTGGTGCAACTTGTCATTGAACTTGACAGATCAAAGTCGCATCCTATTTGCAATTTCATGTGCTGCTTGCATTAACATCTGTATAAATGAAGTCGCTCAGATGTCGGCAAGTCGCACTGATCGTTGGCTTTGAAATTGCGCTGGAGTAGTACGACGTCAAAGCCGCACTGGTGTGAACTGAGTGTAAATAAACAGTGAAATGTTACAAAACTGCAAAATAATTTATCTTCCATTGATCTGACTAAAGTAAATTGAGATCACATTGCTTATGAAGGCCATAGACAGGTAGATGTTAACCATATCAGAAACTTTGTCCAATTGCTATTGTTTTTCTCCCAAGATAAGGTGACACTGAAGTGTCCAGCAACCTGAGTATTTATAAAGCTGAACCTAGGGGCCTCATCTGATGTCACCCCTGTCTGTCTGGCTGTCCTTTACTGTCTCTGGTTCACTTTAAAGAGGAGCAACTTCTTTCCGTACAGTTTCTAGCGCTAACCCTTTACTGGGATACAAAACTAACCTTTTTGGCTGTGTGTAAAGGTTAACAAATCTATTTGCAAAATGGGGTAAATTCAGCAAATCTCATTTTTTGGGGGGGGATCAACAGTGCGCATGTGATCAATCTGCAGCAGATGCTGTATTTCGTGAATTGACTGCCCAGATTCGTTTGGGGCTACTTTACAGATGGAGATTTGCATATTTAGGGTAAATTCATTATTCACTATTAAATCTGAAAATGAATGAATTGCTGGATTTAGCCGGTTTATAAATCAGTTTAGTGGGCACAGTAACTGTTTAATTTGACTGGAGAATGGACAAACTTGTGTTGAATTCCAAAGCTGGCCAGCTCTCTGGTATAAGGCCATTTACCAGCATCTTCCATTGGCAACTGTAGAAAATGTACTAGAAAAGGAGCCATTTTTGTCACTGGCTCCTTGGTTCGCCAAATTTGTCCTATGCTGGTTTTGTAAGCATAACCCTAATTTTATTTGGAGCTGAGGAAGAGAGATTTAAAGTTATCCTATTACTCTATAAATGTTTTTTCCTTTTGGAGTGTCATGTAAACGGACATTTGTTAGTAGGTTTCCATTATATGTATACATTTAGGAGAACCTCCTGACTCTCTCTCTCTGACCTCCTTATAGTTGTGGTTTTTGGTGCCTCTATTAACTCATGACATACTAAGAAACAAAATAATATTTATTAAGCGTTTGGTGTAATTGTTGCTGATAAGGATCAAAAGGTAAGGGATGTTTTATATATTCAGTGCCAGATGCAACATGCAAAAAAAAGTTGTGCAAGATTCACGTAGCAACCAGCTAGATGGTTGCTTTAGTATTATAGCACCATGAAACTTTCTTCCAAGATTTATTTGGTTGCTACAGAGCTGCAAATGTATATATTACCCACAAATCTAATAGTCACACATTTTGTTTGTTACATCTTATTGGCTTATAAATTTGAAACCTTTACGTTTTAATCCATCCAGGGACACTAGAAAGCTTCGAAAATCTAACCTCCTACCTCTTTACTTGTGTAATGAGGACTGTCATCACAGGCCCTGTCTGGTATAAACATTGCGCTGTTTACATTCAGCCTGTTTGCCATCCACTCTGCTTCTGCAGACCAGGACTGAGCAGAAGAATGGCATTTTCTCCAAAAGCCTGTTTGATTCAAAGCATTTGCTGCCAAGAGCCATACATTATGAATGTGTTGCACTGCACTCTTGTATTCACTGGAGATAACAAATGTTCTGCCAATCCATCCAAATCATATTATTCAACACAGCCAACTGTGTAGGGCTTAAATGCACATTGAGACTGATGCCTAAATTCTTTCTGATCACTTAGATCTGTTCTGGAGACATGTGCTGTCTATACTGGAGCTAAACTCAGGTGTTTCCTTATTTTAGCAGTTTGTGGTCTGCTAGAATTACATGAGTGCATTGCAGCACACAAGTTCTCATTTATGGCTCCGATGAGCTTTCAGCTCTGGTCTCACAACAAACTGATTGTAAGCTGCACAATGGAAGAGGTATGAGATTATAACGCTTCTTTGTATACTTAAAACAGCTAATATATTTTGACATTTTGTCTTTTAACATATTTTCTGTAATTCTTCAAAATTCAAAGATGTCAAAAATCCATGTCCCTGCAATAAAATGCTTCTGTTTAAATTTTGCAGTTTCTGAAGCAGTCCCTGGCACCCACCCTAGTGGTCAGTGATGATATGAGCCGTTGAGTTCCATGTTGGGCTGTTTTGCTGTTAATAGTGAGAAGCCTGATGTGGGGCCCTCCTCCCGTTATCTCCATTCTACACTAAGGGCAAGGCCAGGGAGAGCTTCAAGAGCTAAAAAAATGTAATCATAAGCCTTGAGTTCCCAGGATACTAGTTACAGAATCATTGGTCTACCAGAAATGCTTCAACTGTGAGCAATTCTAGAAAAGATAAGTGTGAAATTCTGGGTTACAGTTGAAACTGATTGTTAAAATCTCATAGCAGAGACAGAAAAGGGGTCTGCGGATGCCTTGGACTTGGCAGTTTCCTCCCCTCGTTCACCAGATTCAGGAAGCACCCATAGCTCTCCATCTTCACCCGATTCCAAAAAGAAGCCTCGGGGAATCAAAAAGCTATTTGGGAGGTAAGTGAATTTTGCAGCAGTGCTCAGAAATGATTATTTTTATAAACTGATCACGGAACAGTCTACATTTCTTCAATAAACTATGATTGACCATGGAACCACCCAGATTTCTTCGATAATCTGTGATTAAATTCATCTGCAAGATTGAAATGTTCTCTATTTGTTTCAGGCTGAAGAGAAGTCAGTCTACCACTTTAAACCAAGATGATGACTTTCCGGAGGAGGAGTTCAAGAGGGGAGGGACCAGGTCCACTGCCGGACCAAGATTGGGTTGGTCCAGAGATCTTGGTCAAGCACACAGGTCTGTACGGAGGCATACATTCTGGCTGTGAATATAAAAGGGTTTTGAAGTTAATTGAAAGATATGGTAGTTTCGACTCCAGGAGAAACTCTTTCTGTTAAATTTGTATTTTTTTTCTTTATATATTGTTATGCATCTGGCAGTGAGGGACCAGGTCTACTGTTGGGCCAAGATTGGGAGGATCCAGGGATTTTGGTCAAGCACACAGGTCTGTATAGGGACGTATATTTGGCCATGAACCCTACCAAGACATAAAAGTACTTTGGGATTAATTAAAAGAAGGTAGTTTTGACTTCAGGGTTCCTCCCTCCCATATTTTTATTTATTTTACTTTATGTAAACCAGAGAAGAGATAACTCTCCATGGTGGGTGGGAACACTGAAAACTTCAAAATGGGCAAGAACAGAGCCAGGACTATGCTGTGGAGATCTCACTGCTGGTTTCCCAAAGAGGACTAAATATCTTGCCAGGTGAATGCGTGTAAACTATCTTACCTGCAGAGAAAAAAAAATCTAAGCGTTTTCTAATCCATGCACCTCGCCACACAGAAATGGTCTTGGTACAATAATGACCACTTTCTCTTCCGATCGGAGTTCCGCTCTTCAGTTAGAGATGGTGCCATGCAATTGTAAAATAAATCGCAGCCCTCTTCAGGAATGGACTCTTGGGAATATTTGGGTGATACTCCTAAGGTTTCCCTTCTACACAACAAGTTTAAAGAATAATTGACTTTTGTTGAGAACAAAACTTTCCCCTCTGAGTGATCTATGTACATTGCAAGGATTTTAACAAACTTTGTTGCAGATACCTACCTTTTGTTGTTCTGAAGAAATAGCTGTTTGTTTGTGTCCACATGCAAAGTGAAGGAGAATGGGAGTGATTTTATAATGATCAGTCAGCTGCTGCACTTGCAGGGTACTAATGAGGAAAGTGGCAGGGTCTGAATCCCTTTAGATGGGATTTACCTTTGGCAGTATCTAACTAAGGGGATGCCCAAAATCTGACTTATATCTTAGTGAAGACTTCTGGGAAAATCGGTAAGCCAATCATACAAGCAGGAAATTACATTTCTGGGGGCTGTTCAGTACACCATCTGTATTCAAAAAACTCCCAGGTTGCTGTATTGCATTTTACAGAAATTTACAGCGCTGAAAATTGAAAAGAAAGGTAAATTTTAACCACTTGACCGCCAGAGGGGTTTACCCCCTTCATGACCGCGGCATTTTTGCTATTCAGCGTTGCACTACTTTAATTGGCAATTGTGCAGTCATGCAACACTGTACGCAAATTAATCTTTATCATTTTTTTTTTCCCCACACAAATAGAGCTTTCGTTTGGTGGTATTTGATCACCACTGGGTTTTTTAGTTATTATATAAATGAAAAAAGACAACATTTTGGGAAATAAATATATTTTCTACTTTCTTGTTATAAAACATCCAATTAAAAAAAAAAGCAAATTTCTTCATAAATTTAGGCCAAAATATATTCTGCTGCATGTCTTTTGGTAAAAAAAAATTGTACATTAATTGGTTTGAAATTTGTGCAGCTTCGACACTGTACTAGTAATGGCAGTGATCGGCGACTTGTAGTGGGACTGTGATAGTGTGGCAGGCAATCTGGTGCTTGCTGCTGCTGGTTGGGAGGTACAGTAACTGGCACAGACCTCTATAGCAACACTAATATAGTAATCAGTAGTAATACTGTACACTATCACTGTACCAATGACACTGGCTGGGAAGGGGTTAACATCTAGAAGCAATCAAAGGATTACCTGTGTGCCTAACAATGTATAATGGGTGTAATATGTGCTTCATTGGCTGTAATCCGCTGCCAAACTCATGCTTTGTCCAGTCACAGCATGGGTTGGCAGGGGGCACGCATACATGCACCCCAAACCTGGAAGAAGGCCAATCATGTACATGTACGTGATCATGCCTGCATCTGCCACCAGCTCGCAGAATATTTACTGTAAGCAGTCGGCAGGTGGTTAATGACATTCAATTACAAGTGTGTGTGTGTGTGTGTGTGTGTGTGTGTAATTTTTTTTTTCCATTCAAAAGTGGAGTTACCCTTTAACAATACAGTAGAAAGAGTTGTTAAATGGCTTGAAGCACAGACCTACCTCCATCTGTGCAATAAATTGTAATTTCGGTGTCCGCATCAAGGGTTTGTTTACCAAAGTGTTCAATCCATTTTGTTGTTTATTAAAGTGCAAAACAAGCAAGATGCAAAAAATTAAAGTGCCTAAACCTCCATATAAAATACTCCATGTTTGTAAAATAGCCCAAACAGAGCTCAAAACATTGCACTTTTACATGAGGGATTATGCACCTGAACTTTCTGCCGCTTGCTTGTTTTGCACTTTAATAATGTGCCGTGTGGGTTGAACACTTTGGTAAATAAGTCCTCAGTGTGGACAGCTTTTCATTACATAGGAGAATTGTTTTCCTAACTAACGTATTAGGCTGTCATTTATATGCACAAGGCATTTGATAAGTAGTGGCCTGGAATTCACTTTACTGTATGATGCACTATAGTACAGAGCTGTAATGTGTTGAACTTTGTAAATGCTGTTCTGATGCTGCAGTGATTTGGACACGCCATTTGCCAAGTGGTCGAAGGAACAGGTATGCACCTGGCTGAGGGACCAAGGGCTAGGAAGCTACGTTAACAGCTGCAAGCAATGGATTGTCTCAGGCCAAACACTGCTGCATGCGTCCCAGCAAGACCTGGAAAAGGTGAGGCCGGGCCAAGTCTCTGCAGAGGTCCTCTTTGTCAGTAATATGCCATAATGTGTGTACATATATATATGTATGTGTGTGTGTGCAAAATATATATTTGTGCAAAATATATATATATATAATGTATATATATATATATATATATATACATACACACACCAGCTGGGACCTACCTGCAAAGCTATATGATGGAAAAGGCCACTTAATGTGTCTATTGTTCCATAGTTAGTATCCATAATGTCAAGTTGACCTTTAAGCAAAAATACAAAGTTTAGTTTAGCTATGTCTTAAAAAACAGCTCTAGTCAAAACTTATTTTGCTCTGGATAAAGGACAGTAAGAGCCACTCCCCGTCTGTCTTGTAGGAGTGTCACAGGGAGAGGAAGTGAGAAAATCTCCCCATTGGGGTCATAGCCAAAAAAATGCGTGATAGAAACTTTAAAGCTGAATGCCAGTATAGACTATAAAATAAATACAGGAGGCATGAGTATTCTTACTTGGATCTTAATGTGCTTTGTGTATTTTTTCCAGATCTGTGCAGTAGTCCATTGTATAGTGTGCAGGAGCTTCCTGTAATAAAGACCAATCCCTGCTTCACCCCTTTTCCTTGTGCAGGGTGACTGGTTTTATCTCCGCCCTCTCCTGTTGGTTTTTGCAGGCAGTCTAAAGTGGGTGGAGTCTGCTGGATCCCTCCCACAGTTCTGTTCTCTTCACAGGCTAGTTTTACAAAAGTATTATTTGGGTTTGCAAGGACATTTGCTGCACACAAAGTGGATCTATATCAGTTGTGGCAATTGAGGAATTATTGAATTAAAGTATTTGTGCTCAGAATTCAGCTTAAACTCTTCCATACACTACAAAAATAAAAAAACTGGCTTGAGCTGGGATTTCTCTTTAAAATATATTTTTAATACTTTTTATAATGACCTACAATCTATTTTTATGATGACTTTGTAGTAGTAGACTAGTCTCTTGTCTTGACCATTAATTTAATGCAAAAGGTTTGAACTTCAGGTGATACCATTTATTAACTAACTGAAGTTTTTAGAGATGCAAACGTTCAATATGCCGTGGATCACTTCTTCAGGTTTTGTGCAATTTAGTATAAAGCTTGAAGAAGGGATCTAAGGTCTGGAGCATGTTTCACATTACACCCCAATTATTGGTGTAACATGCTTTGAAGGGTGAACTTATCCTTTAAGACAGTCGTACATGGATCAAAATTCAGCCTGTTCAGCAGGGATCTGCTGAATTTTGATCCATGTATGAGCAGGCTGGTTGTACAGAAGTGGATCTACTGATTGACTTCTGTACAACCAGCCTGTTGGGTTTTTCCTGAACGATCAGTGCCGCAGGCTGCAGCCGGCAGTGCTGATCAATGTGTTCTGATGGCAGGCAATAAAAAGAATATTCATATATAGCCTGCTTTAAGGTCTGTTTAACAGTGGAAATGTCTCTGATCAACTATACATCGGCGCTCCTTTTAGTAGATGATGAAATCCTAGTTTGTAGCCTTTCCTTTTCATCTAATGTAAATAGAATTTAAAAAGTGTTTAACCCTGAACATAAAGAAATCTATGAAAAACACTTTGCGTTCTCTTTCAACACCACTATCTCTTTAGGAACTGGGTATTAAACACCCATTACATCGGAAGAAGCTCCAGCTGGCTCTGCAGTCCTTGGGATCTGAAGATGACAGTAACTATGGAAAATTGGACTACAAGTGGGTCACACGTAAGTAAAGTAATTTTAATTGACTTGTCTTTATTTTTTATGTCCTGGAGGCATCCTGGCATTACTTGGTGGGACCATATCCTGTGCTACCCTTTCTTTTCCCAGAATAGCCACCTAAGAAATATTTGAATGGTGTTGTGAGCACGTGGCACCTCTTTTGGGTTTTCCTTCTTGCATGTGTCCTTGTTGGGGAGATTCCCCTGTTTTTTCTGTCTTGGTGACATGACACAGGGTAGTGTAGTGTGATCTCCTGCAAAGAAGGAATATGGCTTTTAACAGACCCTGTAACATCTAAGATAGTCAGACATCAGATTGTTTTTCCTTTCTGATACTACAACTTGGTGACAATGATATTTGTGGATTTCCTAGGGTGGCTGGATGATATAGGGCTCCCTCAGTACAAAACACAGTTTGATGAGGCAAAGGTCGATGGACGTATGCTGCATTATATGACAGTGGTAAGTTTCCTCACCTCTTAGATTTATAGTGTGTGTCTGGGCAAAATAAAAAAAAAATTAAAAATCTCATCAGAACATCTCTGCAATACACTCACGTTTTCCCATGCTTTATTCACTCACTGAAAGTACCTAAAAAAATCCTGTTGAACTGCCAGAAATTCATTGACCTCCTAACATCCTGTAGTGAGCTGACAATGGTGATCTGCTGCACTGAAATATTTGTCCGTTCTGCCTGCCCTCCCTGTGTTCTCCTTTGTGTGACTGCAGAACACCTCCCTCTCAATCTTAATAAGATGGGGGGGGGGGGGGGGGAATAGACCAGACTTTTACAACAGGAGAAAATGGAAACCATGAAAAAATCTACAACTATTTCCATCCTGTTTTTTACCCTGTCTCGCATGAGTCTTGCTTATTATGATCTGGTGAGATGAACCGTGTTCACTCAGTTGAGGTTCAGCCATTGAAAGTGTTTACTAAGGTGTTTCTCCAACAAATATCCTAATCTCAGTGTAAACACTGCTGCTTACCTTGGCAGCATGCTTGTGAAGTGGCATTTCCACCCAGTGACACCCTTCCCACTCTGTAGCTGGTTTACCCAAACAGGTGTATAACATGGCTTAAAGTCAACTTATGTATTTCTGCAAAAGTCATGACTTTCTGCAAATGATCAGGTCCTTATGCTGAAATAGTGTATATCAGCTATAAGTTGAGTTAAGAAAAGGCTTAGTGTAGGGGTGACAGGTTTGTAAACTCTTGGTCAGGAAAGGGAGTTGCATACCCCGGCTGAGATTTCAGAGTATTAATCCGCTAGTGCAGCAATGTTCACCAGCAGTGCACAGAACAAACAGCCTAGGTTGCTATATAGTTTGTATAGTACATTATTACCCTGGTGCAGATTCCTGATGGTGACAGCGGTGGACCATGCATGCTCAATGAGTGTTGGCGTGGCACTTGTAGTTTGCACCAGGTACAGCATGTGACAGGACAAAGGGGACAGTGTTGCAACCCTTTTCCAGGGATGACTGGATAAGGACCTTCATGGCAGGATCACCAGCTATTATCGTAACAAAAGTTGCAAGTTTTAAAAGGTTAAAAATGATTTTTGCAATATCAACATATAAAAACTCTTATGTGAGGTTTTAATGAGATACTTTAATATCATTGGTTTTACAATGAGATGTTAAATGGGTAGGTGTTCAAATATTTTTACATAGAGAGTCTTGGTGATCTTGTATAATTTTTTTTTTACTAAACTGCTTTCTTCATCTGTAGTAGTGTACAGTTTTATCAGTTCTTTATTGATCTGTGTCTTCTTCTTTCCCAGGATGATTTGCTGTCTTTGAAAGTTGTAAGCGTGCTCCACCACCTCAGTATTAAACGTGCCATACAGGTTCTGCGGATCAACAGCTTCGAACCCAACTGCCTCCGCAGGAGACCCTCCGATGAGGTGATCCAGACTTTAATATCTGCTGATCTGTGACTTTCAAATTATTCCCTGACAAGTGGGGAGTGTGAGCAAAGGATGGCCAGGGACAGGGGATATAGAAGGGGGAAATGACCTTAAAAAATAAAAAGGGGGTAGTAGTTCCTGAAGTAAGAGGGGAATCTCTATAGCGTTAAGCTGAAATTCAGTCTTAGTATAACCCTTTAGTAAGAGCATCTCAGTTCTTTGAGTACTTGTTTTGTGTATTCAAGACAAACCTCTAGCTTCCACCCAAGGACCCCATTTCTTATAGAATTTTTTTGGACAGTTATGACCCATTTAGATCAATTTTTTTATATAGAGGGAGCACCGGATTTACAGTAGTTCTCTACTACTTGACTGTGAGCAGTTCAGAGGACGTCCACTTAAACAGTAAGTTTCCATGCATAGAATGCAGCATAAAAAAGGAAGCATCGCTGGTGAAGGGAAACATCCAAATTTGCTCTGACACACAGCAGAAGAAAAAAACGGATCCAGTGGAATCTGTAGGTCTAAAATAGTATTGGCATCTTCCAGCACACCTTGCAGAAGGATTGAAGAACAGGACCAAGTATAAATGTGTCCACATAGAACAATATTTAGCAACTGTAGGGTTAATGATAGATAACCTCTGAGGGGTACAATATGCACGATGCAAAAATTGCAACTGGATAAACCTGTCACTTGTACTTTAAGATGAACTGTGGGCAGGCTATGGATTTCAGATATTTACAGGTTTTTAGTCATCAATAAATGAGCTTTAAAACAAGCCCCCACTAACCAAATCTCACAAAGTATTTTGGATTTTGTTTCAGGAGCTCAGCTAACCCCTCCCAGCTGTTACTCAGCAGCTCAGCTGACCACTCCCAACAGTGACTCAGCAGCTCAGCTCCCTATGCCTCCTCCCAGCTGTGACTCAGCAGCTCAGCTGACCTCTCCCAGCTGTGACTCAGCAGCTCAGCTCCCTATGCCTCCTCCCAGCTGTGACTCAGCAGCTCAGCTGACCCCCCCAGTTGTGACTCAGCAGCTCAGCTCCCTATGCCTCCTCCCAGCTGTGACTCAGCAGATCAGCTGACCCCTCCCAGCAGTGACTCCAGAGTCCAGTTCTCTATGCTACCTCCTCCCAACGCTTTCTTAGAAGCTCAGCTCCCCCTCCCAGTAGTGACTCAGCAGCCCATTCCTAATGCTCTCCCCTCCTGGCATTGCCGCAGCAGCTCAGGCCCCCATACTCCTAACCTCCTCCCAGCAGTGACTTAGTAGCTCAGCTTGTCCCTCACAGCAGTGATGTGGCAGCCTGCCAGCCTTCTAGTGTCTAATGTAAAACAGCAGGTGCTCAGGAAGAGAGGAGAGCAGAGTTCAACTTGAAAGACTGCTTCCTTTAAAACAGTTTGCTGATTGGACAATGAATAAGCAGCAGCACACAAATGAAGTCACCTCAGTGCTCTCCCTCCTGTAAGCATGTTCAGTGTTGGACTGACAGCACTGCACAATACAATATGCAAAGCTGTAGTAACCCTCATTGGCTCAGATACCGGCAGCCTCCATCACCTGCTGCAGAGTCCTGTTGTGCATAAACCAATTTAGGTACTTATACTAGTTCTTAAAGATACATCTGACAGCTGGTAAATTTTTGGTTCTGTTTCACCTTCTTGTAGAGTAACATTACTCCCTCAGAGGTGGCCCAGTGGACCAATCATCGAGTCATGGAGTGGCTGCGGTCTGTGGATTTAGCAGAATATGCCCCTAACTTAAGGGGTAGTGGGGTACATGGCGGTCTTATGGTAAGTACCGATAATTGGTAACATGGAAAACAAAAAAAAAGATTGCCCTAAATAGGCAAAGTGATGGATTCTCTTTAAAGTGTTACTAAACCCAGGACCCTGCATTCACTATATCTGGTCTCCCACACTACCCACAACATGGAAATGGAATTATTTTAGTAAATATAAACTGTCTAAATATCTTTTCTCATCAGCAGTTAGAGCAGTCTTGTGACTTCTATCAGTGTCCAGCAGTGCACTGGTTAAAGCCTATAGGAGGAGTTTTCATTCTCCCCTGATTGTCCTATGAGGCTGCAGGATCCCTGACCCTCTGTCTGGACAGTGCTGATTGGCCCTGTGCTTATCACATGCACTTCTCAAGAAGAAAAAAAATCACTAGCAATACACATCAAACTGAGCATGTGCAGTTCGCCCCCCAAGGCTCTGTTTTATCAGTAGATGGATTGGGAACAGTAAAAGAAGGGGAGGATCAGAGAAGACAGGATCAAACATCCTATTTACACAATGTAGAGGAGGATTAACCCCTTAGGTTCCACAATGAGTAGAACAAGCATGCTTTACTGCATATACAGACTGATTTTACTGTTGTGGGTTTAGTAACACCTAAGGAGATTTTATTTATATATATATATATATTTGGATACAGGCACAAGTTTCATTCTTTTGTCTCTGTATGCCACCAGAATAAATTAAAACGAAAAAATCCAAATAAATTTGAATTGCAGACTTTCAGTAATTCAAGGGGCTTAACATAAATATCAAGTACAAATTTTAAGAACTGCAACCGTTTTTATACACAGTCCCTCCATTTTCAGGGGCTCAAATGTAATTGGACAAATGAATATAATCATAAATAAAATGTTCATCTTTAATATTTTGTTGAGAATCCTTTACTGGCAATGACTGCCTGAAGTCTGGGACCCATGGACATTACCAAAAACTGGGTTCCCTCCTTTCTCATGCTTTGCCAGGCTCTAACTGCAGCTGTCTTCAGTTGTTCTTTGTTTGTGGGTCTTTCTGCCTTTAGTTTTGCCTTCAGCAAGTGAAATGCATGCTCAATTTACTTGAGATCAGGTGGTTGACTCGGCCATTGCAGAATATTACACTTCTTTTCCTTCAAATGCTCCTGGGTTGCTTTTGCAGTGTGTTTTGGATCATTGTCCATCTGTACTGTGTAGCGCCGTCCAATCAACTTTGCTGCATTTGGCTGAATCTGGGCTGAAAGTTTATCTCTAAACACTGCAGAATTCATCCGGCTGCTTCTGTCTTCTGTCACATCATCAATAAACACCAATGACCCAGTGCAACTGGAAGCCATGCATGCCCATGCCATCACACTGCCTCCACCATGTTTTACAGATGACGTTGTGTGCTTTGAATCATGAGCTGTTCCAAGCCTTCTCCACGCTGCTTTCTTCCCATCATTCTGGTACAGATTAATCTTTGTTTCATCTGTCCAAAGAATGCTTTTCCAGAACTGGTCTGGCTTTTTTAGATGTTTTTTGGCAAAGTCTAATCTGGCTTTTCTATTCTTCAGGCGTATGAATGGTTTGCACCTTGTGGTGAACCCTCTGTATTTGCTCTCGTGAAGTCTTCTCTTGATTGTAGACTTTGACAATGATACACCCACCTTCTGGAGAGTGTCCTTCACTTGTCTGGATGTTGTGAATGGGTTTTTCTTTACCATAGATCCTGCAATCATCCACCACTGTTGTCTTCTATGGACGTCCATGCCTTTTTATGTTGCAGAGCTCACCAGTGTGTTCTTTCCTCAGAATGTACCAAACTGTTAATTTGGCCACTCCTAATGTTGCTGCTATCTCTCTGATGGATTTGTTTTGTTTTTGAAGCCTTACAATGGCCTGTTTCACTTGCATAGACAGCTCCTTTGAACGCATGATGTGGGTTCACAGCAATAGATTCCAAATGCAAATACCACTCGAGACCTTTTACCTGCTTAATTGATGAAGAAATTACAAAGGAGTAGCCCACACCTGGCCATGAAACCGTTTTTGATTCAATTGTCCAGTTACTTTTGGTCCCTTGAAAAAGGGGGGATGGCTAATCTTAAGAGCTGTAATTCCTAAACCCTTCCTCCAATTTGGATGTACATACCCTCAAATTAAACCTGAGAGTGTGCACTTTCAGCCCATATCCATTATATAACTAAAGCTTGAATGTGTTTTGGTAAATACCTGAAAAAATCTAAAAAAAAAAATAAATATATATATATATATAGAGAGAGATCATGGTGAATTGCATATCATCTTAAATTGGGGGGGGTGCTATTTGCACATTATCCAAATTGATGTTTGGGGTTTAACTGAGCATCTTAATCCAGTTTAAGAAAATTGTAACATTGCTATATCCGTGATGATTTTTTTTCCAGGTGCTCGAGCCTCGGTTTAACGTAGAGACGATGGCACAGCTGCTGAACATCCCACCAAACAAGACCCTCCTAAGGCGACATCTGGCCACCCACTTCAACCTCCTGGTGGGTCAGCCATCACAGTTGCAGAAACAGGAAGCATTGTCAGCTCCGGAGTATGTGCTGTTGACCGCAACAGCCAAGGTCAAGGTGAGGAGCCTTCCGACTGGCACATGGAGGCAGGAAATGAATTTAAAGGGAAACTCCAAATTTGTTTAAACCCTCCTCCACTCTCATATATCCCAAGATGTTTAGCAAACATATAATTCCTGTGGGCTTGTTTTCTGAAAAAAATATCAAAAACTGCCCAGGCTGCCATCCTTTTTTAAAAAATGAAGGCCAAATGGCACTGCATAGATGCTTATTATTCCATTGTTAAAAGTACATATTCTATCATCCTTTAGTGTTCTCAGGCTGTCCAAGATGTGTGATATAGATTTATTATTTATATTTGATAATAGTGGATTTATTTATTTATTTTTTAAATAGTCAATTTTATTAAAGTTTTGTTTTTAACAACTGACAAGTACATAATAGATATCCAATTACCATAACACAGTTCATTCCAGCACATAAACCCAGACAAATTACAGGCATCAGTAGTCCATAGAGACTATTGTACAGTAGACAAGTACAGTCAGAATCATATGTGACTCATCCCAACCAATAAATGTAAAAGATGGACTGGTGGATATAGATTTACAGAACCCCAGCCTTACAAAACTTCAGAACATAACAATCCGTGTAGAGCAGTAGCATCATCGGTTAGTTCAGTTAAGAAATGTAGGAGTGGATGGAGCCAATCCTGGGGAGGACAGCCAGGGGCAACGAACATTTTGAAACTTTTTTTTTTTTTTTTTTTTTTTTGGGCACACCGTATGTTGGTAGGTTAATTTTTTTTCGTCTCTAAAATGGCATTTATGGTGTTACACCACTGTACAAAAGTAGGAGTGTTGGGTGAGAGCCAACTTTGTGCGAATTGTTTGAGGGCAGGAACAGTAAGCAGATCAGTAGTATTCTGTGTGCAGGAGGCAACCAGTCTTCAGGGATATTGCCCAGGAGAGCAATTTTAGGATCAAAGGGTAATTGAACGGCATGAAGTAATTTAGAGCACTTCCACAACATGTGGATCAAGGTCCCAGTGTCGCGAACAGTGGTATTTTTTATTATTAGAAGGCATGACTTTGTAAAAGAGATGGAGTTTCCATAACCTTCTCCCAGTCTCCTCTCATTGCCTATGACCTACTCTTACAAGGCAGAGCTGGGGTGTCGGTCAAGGTAACAAACTATCCAAATATCTGTCTGAATAATGGTTTGTGAGTCTAGAACAGAAAGGGGGCAAAGATAATTCTTCTAAAGGTTTCCAAAATTCAATTTTTTAGCTGCTAATCAGATAGAAAATTTGATCCAGAGTAGCATAGAGTTACTACAATAGAGGAAACTAAGAATAAATTACAGTAAAACTGCCATTTGAGATCTGATTTGGCCAATACAAAACTCACTTCTCTGTGTGATTTTATTTCATTCCCTTCATGCACATAGCCAAGGAAACTTGCATTCAGCAACTTTGGAACTTTGCGGAAAAAGAAACAAGAAGACAATGAAGAGTATGTGTGTCCAATGGAGCTTGGGCAGAATTCTGCCAACAATATTATCAAACCTTTCCGGGCCGGCCTGGACCTCCGGATGTTGGACGACGAGGACTTGGACAGACTGGAACAGGTAGGCTTAGAATATATATAGTGGTAGTGTGACATTCCTTATCCATTAGGAGTGGCAATGACCACCAAGGCTTTCTGATTGAACAAGAAGGGGGTAGTTGACAACCGTGAATTCAAGCTGCTAGTAGTGAAGAGGAATGCATTTTCAGAGAGGCCCACATACGCATATATGCGGCCTCTCAGTGGGGGGTGAGCTGCAATGCCAAGAGGCTACATGTATGCTTCTCAAATGTAAAAATCTGTGTTGGAAGTGAGCTCCCAGCACAGTTACCGCAGATTTAAAAAATCTAATTTCATCATAAATTTTAGCCAAAATGTATTCTGCTACGTGTCTTTGCTAAGTAAATAAGAAAATCCCAATATGTGTAAACTAATTGGTTTACGTGAAAGCTGTTACAAATGGTGGTATAGATACTGGAATTTTTTTTTTTTACTAGTAGTGGCAGCAATCAGCGACTTATAGCGGGACTGCGGCTGACATTCTGACACTGGGAGGAACTGACTTGGTGTCACTGACATCCCCAGTGACACTAATACAGTGATCAGTTCTAAAAAAAAAAAAAAAAAAAAAAAAAAGTACTACCACTGTACTAATGGCACTGGGCAGGAAGGGGTTAACATGAGGGGTGATCAAAGGGTTAACTGTGTGCTGGGAGTGTTTTACATAGGGACGGTGTCAGTATGCTTTAGTGTAATGCACAGCCATCTAACGCAGTGTTGAGCCGACAAGGAGGAGAACTGTTAGTAAACAAAACGGTCTTCCTCCCCTGTCAGAGATCCTTGGTAATCACCTGGCGCCAGAGAGTAATCACCGGCTGGGACCCGGTGATTGATGGCCGCAGAAATTCAAAATCACGTATATATACGTGATTCTGCACACCCGTGCCGCCCTGTAGCAGTATTTCTGCTACAGGGCAGTCGGGAAGAGGTTACTCAAGATGGCAGACAACAGTGTTAGAGCATGCGTGGAACAGCGTGTTGGTGTAAACAGTATGTGCTGTATTTTAACTGAAATTTGTCAAAAATTGTTTGTATGTCAGAAAAAGTGTGCGCACCTGGAAAGTGTGCCTTGAGTTTATCATTACATCCACTTTGAGTTGAGTAGCTGAAGGTTGAATAAACTGCTTTACACTTTCAGATGGAAGATTCAGAAGGGACTGTGAGACAAATCGGGGCGTTTTCTGAAGGCATCAACAATCTGACAGTAAGTGTGTGAAAATGAGTATAAATCAAACCACAAATTGATTGTTCCCGCCATACATACAGCATACTAAATGCACAAAGCTCACATTATCCTTACAATTCAAATGTAAAGTATCCTTTTTACCGATCCTCAACTACGTAGTGTAAGGGCCTGTCTGACTGGCTGCAGATTGATTGGATAGTTTAGGCAGTTTCTTATACTACATAGTTTAAGATTATCTGTCTGTCCGGTGTCCTTATGAACTATTAAAATCTTCACGTGAGTACAAAAAAAGGACTGTAGAACAAGAATTTTGGTATAAAAATGGGAATGTCATTTTATCTGCTGGAAATTTTAAACCGACCAATTACAAAAGTGCTTCAATCTGTACCAGAAATCTTATGGTTGTTTTTTTTTTTTTGTTTTTTTTTTGTCTTCTAAACCTGAGGAGCTTTACAGAGTGATCCTCAGTCACCTTTAATTCAAAAGGTAGGCCAGCAACACAAGTCCATTTCTACTATTTGGTACTGGATACCTCTCATCGGATCTCTATGAACTGATGCATTTTGGACTGTGTATGATATTTGGTCATTAGGGATTAGAATTTGTTAGTCCTAGGTGATTATGACTTGAAGCTCCTCCAAAAGGAAGGTATCATAAGTGCACAAGTTTGTTGCTGTGATTCAGTGCCACCAGCTGCACTAAAATTGACCTATCATTGAATCATTGCTATCAACTTGCCCTTCACTCTTCCCATATAGAATTGCTAGCTACAGTTTAACTAGGAAAAGGTAGTACAGGCGGAGGGACTGGTCTGTAAAGCAGTCCATACACTACATGATTTTTCTTTCCTGCAACCAAAAGAAAATAGCTTGATTCCAAATCAGTGTTGATGGGGGAATCCCTCCTGCAGCACAACTGTGTTTTGCTGCTGAGGAGCCTTCCTGGCCATCAGAACTCAATGTTTACTGCTTGCAGCTATAGCCACTGGCAGTAACCACATATAAAACATCTGATATGCTGGTTGTACCCAATTCGATCGATGAATCAACATGGGTATAACCAGCCTGTTCATAGATGAATCGAATTGCGTCCGGTCCCTGCTGAACCAGCCAAGATTCAAGCCATCAATGGCCGGCTCAAAAAGTATACAGTTGTGGCAGCGGGGGGAGGGGCTGCTATGTTTGTGGTATACATGTGTGCAGGGAGCTGGTCCATATGGAGTTTACCACTGCAAGGGGCTAGTCCATAGGGAATACACAGGTGCAAGGGACTGGTCCATAAGGAATACACAGGTGCAAGGGACTGGTCCATAAGGAGTACACAGGTGCAAGGGACTGGTCCATAAGGAGTACACAGGTGCAAGGGACTGGTCCATAAGGAGTACACAGGTGCAAGGGACTGGTCCATAAGGAGTACACAGGTGCAAGGGACTGGTCCATATGGAGTACACAGGTGCAAGGGACTGGTCCATATGGAGTACACAGGTGCAAGGGACTGGTCCATATGGAGTACACAGGTGCAAGGGACTGGTCCATATGGAGTACACAGGTGCAAGGGACTGGTCCATATGGAGTACACAGGTGCAAGGGACTGGTCCATATGGAGTACACAGGTGCAAGGTGCATAGGAGTACATGTGGTCCATATGGAGTACACAGGTGCAAGGGACATGGTCCATATGGAGTACACAGGTGCAAGGGACATGGTCCATATGGAGTACACAGGTGCAAGGGACATGGTCCATATGGAGTACACAGGTGCAAGGGACATGTCCATATGGAGTACACAGGTGCAAGGGACATATGGAGTACCAGGTGCAAGGGACATGGTCCATATGGAGTACACAGGTGCACATATGGTGCAAGGGCACACATGTCCATATGGAGTACACAGGTGCAAGGGACATGTCCATATGGAGTACACAGGTGCAAGGGACTGTCCATATGGAGTACACAGGTGCAAGGGACTGGTCCATATGGAGTACACAGGTGCAAGGGACTGGTCCATATGGAGTACACAGGTGCAAGGGACTGGTCCATATGGAGTACACAGGTGCAAGGGACTGGTCCATATGGAGTACACAGGTGCAAGGGACTGGTCCATATGGAGTACACAGGTGCAAGGGACTGGTCCATATGGAGTACACAGGTGCAAGGGACTGGTCCATATGGAGTACACAGGTGCAAGGGACTGGTCCATATGGAGTACACAGGTGCAAGGGACTGGTCCATATGGAGTACACAGGTGCAAGGGACTGGTCCATATGGAGTACACAGGTGCAAGGGACTGGTCCATAAGGGTCACACAGGTACAGGAGGCTGTCTTTAAGGGGTACGAAGATGGTGGGAACAGGCTCATAAGGGGTGCACAGGTGGAGGGGGCTGGTCTGTAAGAGGTACACAGGTGGTGGGGTTTGGTCTTTTAAGAGGTATACAAGTGCAGAATGGGGGGGGGGGTGGGGTAATATGCAAACAGTATACAGGTGCAAGGGACTTGTTAATAAGGGATTTCCATGTGCAGGGGGCTTGTCCATAGGGCTTGACAGGTACAGGAGGTTGATCCGTAAGGGGTACACAGTAGGCAAGTAGTGGTCTGTAAGGGATACATAGGTGGCAGGATTGATCCTTAAGGGATCAACAGACGGGAAGTCTGATATACAAGAGCAGAAGCTGGTCTGTAAGGAGTTGTTGGATCTGGTGGGTACGGGCTTTACAGGTGGCAAGGGGGTTGGTCTTTACATGGTACACAAGGAGCAGGGGCTGGTCCATAAGGGGGTGCACAGGTGGCAAGTGCTTGTACACAGGTGGTAACATGGGATTGGTGTGTGAGGGATATACAGTTGGGAAAGGGTGATATGTAAATGGTATACAGGTGCGAGTGCTGGTCCATAATGGGTTTACTGGTGTGTGTGTGTGTGTGGTGGGGGGGGGGAGTGATATACAGATGCGGAGGTTCATATGTAAGCAGTATTTAAGTACGAGAGCTGGTCCATAAGCAGGATACGGGTGCTGGGGTGGCTGGTTTGTAGGGTGTTGGTAGATGCAGAGGGCTGGTCCATAAAGTATAAATAGGTGCATGGGGCTGGTCCATATGAACTATATAGGTGAGGGGTCTGTAAATTTGTTTGGCTCTGAATTTGCATGTGATTCATGTTGTTCACCTCAATCTCCTTCTCTGCCCCCACAGCACATGCTTAAAGAAGACGAAATGTTCAGAGACTTCTCCGCCAGATCGCCGAGTGCCAGTATTACAGATGACGACTCAAACGTGTGACAAATATGCAAACGCTTGTAACATTATTTTTTGTGTCAAAGTATATAATATATATATATAATTTTTTTTTTTTTTTTTGAATATTGAATTTATTCGCAGTGTTCAGGTTGAAGAAGTGGAGGATATGTGCCTTTTCTTTAAAGTGGTAACAAAAACTAACCTCATTTTTAAAGTGCAGCTCTGATAATTCCATAATTGTATTCTGCACTTAACCGAAACAGGGCAAGAGAATGGGGCCCATCACATCCACTAGGACTGAACCTCTGTTGTCACTGGCAAACTGATGAGCTCCATTCATTCTATCAATAATTTTCTGCAGAACTTGCCTACTTTAAAGAATCACTCTACCCTGAATAGATATTCTGTTTTTGGGTGTAGGGAAGCAGATTTTAGCCCCATTTTTTTTATGATGGAACCAAAGCAAGTAGATTCTTATGCCCTCTACTACCTTGGCGTGGCTCTAACAAGCTGAGCTGAGCTACCGTTGTCACATGACTAAATAAATGAATTCCCTAGAGGGAGCGTAGTGCAATATCCTGCATAATGTACTTTAATCTCTTTAGGAATATGTGGAGAATCATTAAAGATTGTGACCTCCACTCATGGGGGGGGGGGGGGGGGGGGGGGTGAGGGTCTCATTGTCAGGGTCCTAAAGAGCCATAAATAGGGCAGGATCTGTTTGCTTCCATATTAAGTGGATTTACTCTTTTATGTACAGATAATAAATATTTGTTTCTCTTAAAAGTATAATTTTCGTTTTGTCACTCTCCAGAAAAAGAGGTTGTGAATTCGAAGGAGTAAATTTTCTAAATATTTGGAACCCCTAAAATGTAGCAAGATGGTTCAGAGACTTGTACGTTGGTCCCATTGTAGTCTGGCTAAAACTTTCATTGCAGCACATAAGGGGTTAATACTCCATCTGAAATCTTCCTCCAGAATTGTTAGTTGTTAATGACAATTATCCAACCAAAAATAGTTTTGATGCAAACCTGTTTCCAACCAACAGTATGATTACTTGGCAAAGAAGCATTTTCAGATGCATTCGGTTCAGCAAAGGATCTTTGTCAGTTCATAGTGGTGAAAGAAAACCATTTATTGATCCATTTAAGTTCTGTTCATGTTAATCCTATTCAAATGTTCAACTACATTGAATTTATTCTGCATCTACTGCTATTTAACTTGTATTTAAAGGGTCACACCACCCAAAACTGAAATTTTAGCCATGGGTGCCTTGAATCACCTACTGGAATTCCTATATTGCTCACTGTGACAAGGTCTCACTTCTCCTCCTGCATTTGCCAAAATGTAAAATAAAGAGAATCCAGTAGCCACAGCAAGTAGGCAGAGCTGAGAACCCTTGTAGCTGGAGGAATATAAGAAGCTGAAGGGGGGTGATTTAACCAGCTGATGGCCACCAAAGTCTAAAATATTTGTTTTGGGTGGACTTAAATTTGTGGGATGTTTTGTTTTTAATATTTGCAGATTTTAAGAGAAAAGAAATGTATTTGTAATTCCCTCTTAGCAGCACTCACGTTTAGTTTTCTTTTTGTGCCGAAACCATTTTTTTTCTTATTTACACTGTTACTTTTATATAAAGTTTTCTATTTAAAATACAAAAGAAAAAAAGTTTATTGAAAAAAAAAAATATTTTGTCTCTGGTCACAACATAGTTTATAATTTTCTATGTGATTCCAGTTTACACCCCAGCTGGATTCTGGCATGGGCAGGGCTGAGCCTTTTGGCGGGTTTCCTTTTTACTGTTAGAGTTGTTTAAAAAAAATAAATAAAATAAAAAAAAAAAATCATGTTTAATAGCACAGTTGCCAACCTGCTTAATTCTGTATGTTTTGTCCTCTTCCATTGTGGCTTTATTTACCCCCTTTGCTAATATTTATGTATTTTTATGTACGTTTTATTTATAAGTGTTGATGCAAGCATTGCAGATAACACAGCGGTAAATGGAGCAGGAGGGTTTAATGGGAGGTTTTGGGGTTTATTTTATAAATATAATGTGCACTGGTTAACCGGTAAGGTGTATGACTAGCAGCTTGTATCCTTCTAGGAGCTGTGGAATTGCATATGCAAGAATGTTTGGTCAGGGAATGCTGGGAATTGTAGTTCCATTGCTTTTGGAGAGATGTAAGCTGCCTCTTCTATCTAGTGGGCTTATTTCTTAAAGCTGAACTCCAGGCAAACCGCTAAAAAAAAACACATTAAACACAAATAAGGGAGCTGTTGTACTTGTCAAAGGGTTGTGTTCCTGTTGATCCAGTCCTGATATTCACACAGCTCTGCCACACAACAGTCCTGTTTGGCAGGGTGGGATACCTACATTTTATCTGCGGCAATTCAGTACCACTTACAGGTCTCATCCCTCCCTCAGCTTGTGACAGGGTGAAGAAAGGAGAAGCAGAAGACTGATAAGCACATTCCTGTCACTCTGGCCTCCCCTGCTGTCAGCATGCTCCTTGCATGACTGGATCCTTGTGCTGCTTCTCCCTCCCCCAGTCTGAGCTCTGCTGTACAGGGCGTGCAAGAGACTGATACCAAATCAGGTACTCACACTGCTTGTGTTTGGGTGAAAAAAAAAAAATTATGTAATGATGACTACAGAACTGCATTATTTATGCGTTTTATATTTGCCTGAAGTTTGGTTTTAAGGTGGGGTCAAGATCAGTTACAGTGTAGTGTCCCCTAACCTACAGCAGCCAATACGATCTCCGTGTTTCTGAAATCACACATTAAAAATATTTTGTTTTTAAATATTGGCTGCTAGAAATAAATGCATTTTGCCTCACAGAATAAACCTGCTCCAGTGTTCACTGTTTGGCATATAGCCATGTTTTTGCTCAGTTATACGTTTTATGAATGGCACCAGTTTTGGGGTGTTGCGGGCCTGTGAACCGAGGTTCCATAAGCCCCTCCTGGAATCTGCCTTTATAAAAGTTTTAGTTTGTTGCAAGAGTTAATATAACACTATGACTTTGTTATAGAATATACAGCAGATGGTCATTGTGTCAGTCTATATATTTGATTTAATAAAGGCTTATGTTTAACTTGAAGGCGTTCTCTGGTTTGTATTGTGTCGTCATAAGTTCCTTTTGGAGAACAAAAATTTGGCCGCATCACTTGCCAGTAAATAAAACGAAAGGTTCACTTCCTTTGAAGAGAATTTGATGCTATCCTGGCAAGTCTACATGAGTAAATTGCTGACCTGTCACAATATGCAGGACAGTATACCTTTTCAGAAAGGCTCAACCTTTTCTCATTAAAAGGTTTTCCATAAGCACCAGTCCAGCAATTATGCCTAGGATGAGATGATGTCATTAGTCTGCTGCAGGCAGGAGGAAGCATTTCTTTAGTCTCTTCTACCCCAGTGTACAGACTGCAACATTGTAACAAGGTGAGAGGCTGCAGCTGCAATGTCTGGATAAGACATTGGCCCATGGTGATCAGGGGGGTATGGGGGTGGTACCTCCGGCCTGATTGATTATGAAGATAATCCAGAGTAGATCACACATATGCTGAAATGATGTGGACAATGCAGGACTTGTAGGTAAGCTTCTTTTGTGTTTGGAAAGAAAATAAAACACTTTTTGTAAGTAATCTTTATTATCACTGGGAAATGTAGTTGTTTATCTACTCCTATATATATCATTTTTTAGGTCTGTCCATTTGATGGGCATGGACTAGGCGCTCTTGTTGCTATCTGAATATATAAGTTTTGATTACTACCCCGATACACTGGCTACTCATTTATGATGTGATACTACATATAACATTTGGACTTATCCCTCACCTTAGAGGTAGACCTCTGGCATACTTCGTTATTTTAAGCACCCTGAATACATATGGAAGTTTTGTTCCCTCACCCATATACAATGCACATACTGTATATGTGTGTCCTCTGTACACTTTGCACAGTTATTAGGAAAGTTGTATTTTTAAGGATTCATTTAATTATTGAACAACTATAGTGCTTTCGCTGAATCCAAAATGTTCATAAACCTCAAACCTGAATATTTAAGAAAGTAAAAGTGAGATTTTGGCTTTCATAGGAGAATGTGTGCACAATTATTGGGCAGTAGTGATGGGCAAACACCCCCCTGTTCAGTTGGCATTCGACCATTTGAACCTAACAAAAGTTCGGCCGCGAACTTCGAACACAATGCAAATCTATGGAACTCAAACTTGTAAATTCAAAAGTGCCCAATTTGAAGACTTTTATATGCAAGTTATTGGCCATAAAAGGGGTATGGGCACTGCCCTGAGAGCGTGAATCAGTGAAAAAATGTTTTCAAAAAGTACAGTTTTTAAAGGGGCAATTATTTTTTATTGCTTAAAGTAAAAAAACAAATTTCCATTAACCACTAGCCTACCGGGCACTTATACCCCCTTCCTGCGCAGGCCAATTTTCAGCTATCATTCTGGCACACTTTGGATGACAATTGTGTGGTCATGAAACACTGTACCCATATGAAATTATCATTTTTTTTCACACAAATAGGGCTTTCTTTTTGTGGTATTTACCGTATTTTTCGCTCCATAAGACGCACCTGACCATAAGACGCACCTAGGTTTTAGAGGCAGAAAACAGGAAAAAAAAATTCTGAACTACTGGACTGCAGACAAAGTACAGGAGATGACCAGAGACTGCAGACACAGTACAGGAGATGACCAGAGACTGCGGACACAGTACAGGAGATGACCAGAGACTGCGGACATAGTACAGGAGATGACCAGAGACTGCGGACATAGTACAGGAGATGACCAGAGACTGCGGACATAGTACAGGAGATGACCAGAGACTGCGGACATAGTACAGGAGATGACCAGAGACTGCGGACATAGTACAGGAGATGACCAGAGACTGCGGACACAGTACAGGGATGACCAGAGACTGCGGACACAGTACAGGGGATGACCAGAGACTGCGGACACAGTACAGGGATGACCAGAGACTGCGGACAGCACAGGGATGACCAGAGACTGCGGACAGCACAGGGATGACCAGAGACTGCGGACAGCACAGGGATGACCAGAGACTGCGGACAGCACAGGGATGACCAGAGACTGCGGACAGTACAGGGGATGACCAGAGACTGCGGACAGTACAGGGGATGACCAGAGACTGCGGACAGTACAGGGGATGACCAGAGACTGCGGACAGTACAGGGGATGACCAGAGACTGCGGACACAGTACAGGAGATGACCAGCGACTGCGGACAGCACAGGGATGACCAGAGACTGCGGACACAGTACAGGAGATGACCAGCGACTGCGGACAGCACAGGGATGACCAGAGACTGCGGACACAGTACAGGGATGACCAGAGACTGCGGACAGCACAGGGATGACCAGAGACTGCGGACAGTACAGGGGATGACCAGAGACTGTGGATAGTACAGGGGATGACTGCTGACCTTTGGGGAGGGGGGGAGCGGGTACCTGAATTTGACAGATACCCGCTCCCACTTCCGCGGAGTTGTTCTTTCATCTTACCTGTTCCTCTATCCAGCTGCGCGCTGTCTTCCCGACTTCTGTAATGGCGCTCGGCATGACAGCCGGGTGCCCAGTGCGCATGAGCGAGAAGCACTTGCGCTTTGTGATTGGTCTGGCGGCTTCTGGGATCTGTCATGTGTCCCAGGTACCGCCTTACCATTCACAAAATGCACCGCTTCTTGCGCATGCGCACTTGGCACCCGGCTGTCATGCCCACACTACAAAAGCCGGGAAGACCGCGCCGCTGGATAGAGGAACAGGTAAGATGAAAGAACAACTCCGCGGAAGTGGGAGAGGGTATCTGTCAAATTCAGGTACCCACTCCCCCCCCTCCCCAAAGGTCAGCAGTCATCTCTATAAGGTCCCGCTGTAGAGCTGAGCGGCCCGGCCCGGTATTCTGACACGGCGGCAGTGGAAATACCGGACCGGCCGCTCCATAAGACGCACTGACATTTTCCCCCCTTTTTTTGGGGGAAAAAAGTGCGTCTTATAGAGCGAAAAATACGGTAATCGCCACTGGGTATTTTTATTTTTTGCGCTATAAAAAAAAAAAAGCAAAAAAGGTTTTTCTTTGTTTCTATTGAAAGATTTTGCAAACAGGTAATTTTTCTCCTTCACTGATGTACGTTGATGAGGCTGCACTGATAGGCAGCACTGATGAGGTGGCACTGACTGACAGCACTGCTGGGCACAGGTGGGTGGCACTGCTGGGTGGCACTGATGTGCAACTTTGCAGGTAGTTTAAGGGGACCCCCCAGGCATATTTAACCACTTGCCAACCCGTGCTATAGCCGAATGAAGGCTACAGCGCAGTTGTCCAGTCCTGGGAGGGTGTCATATGACGTCAGTGCCGATCTGTCCTCTGACAATTGCAGGTTATCAGCAGTACTTTCAGCAGGTGATAACCGGCAACTGTATTTACAGCTGATCTGCTGTGTAATTGGACACAGCTGATCACATGGTAAAAGGCCGCTGCAGCCTTTTACCACATCACATGACCAGCTGTGTCCATAGGACACAATGATCACGGAGATTGCCGGGGGCGTGCGGGAGGGCGCATTCTGGGAGGACATCATATGACGCCCTCCCAGGACTGGACAACCGCACTGTAGTTGTCATTTGGCTATAGCGCGGTTGGCAAGTGGTTAAATATACCTAAAGGGTCCCCTTAAACTACCTGCAAAGTTGCACATCTCTACAATGTATAGAACCTGCTGCAGCAGGACTGACTTTTTTTTTTTTTTTTAGTGTGGGGTCCCTTACCCCCCCCCCCCCATCCATACAAGATCCTTTAGGTCTGGTAGGAAGGTTAGGAGGGACCCACAGTAATTTTATTTTTTAACCAAAGTGGAAGGGGTTCCACCTAAAAAGCCATACCAGGCCCTTCAGGCCTGGTAAGAATTTTAAGGGGAACCCACCCACAGAAATGGGAAGAGACAGTGCATGGGGTTCCCCCTAAAAGCCTGGTAGGACTTTAGGGGGGACCCCATGCTTTTTCTCCCCTATTTTTTTGGGGGGTTCCCCATTAAAGTCGTACCAGACCCTTGATCTGAACGCGGGGCCAAGAAAGCGGGGGACGAACAAGCGCCTCTTCCCCGCAACCCTGGGTGACATCACCACTAGCTCTGCCCAATTGCGCTGTGATTGGCCAAAGCATTGCACCTGACCTTTGGTTAGATGCATTGCTTTGGCCAATCACAATGCACTGTCAGAGCGCAGTGCATTGTGGGCCATGGCAGGCGAACAGCCTGCCGATTGCGTGTTTTGGCGAACACATGAACGGTATGGGCAAACAGCCGATGTTCAAGTCCAAGTTGTGTTCAACTCGGACATCAAGCCCATCACTATTGGGCAGCTATTAGTGTGCAGAATTATTATGTAACTAAAAACAAACATTTTCCCCATCTCACTTGTTTATTTTCATCTGTTAAAGTGAGAATAACACACAACTCAAAATTTACAAATAAACATTTCTGACTATTTCAACAAAAAATAAATAAATAAATTGGTGACCATTATAGTCACCTTTCTTTTCAGTAACAGCCATAAGCTTCTATTCTATTCATGGAGTCTGTTCGTTTCTTAATATATTGATCAATTTTTTTTGTGCAGCATCAACCACAGCCTCTCAGACACTGTTCAGAGTGGTGTACTGTTTTCCTTCACCGTAAATCTCCTGTTTAAAGAAGGATCCACAAGTTCTCAATAGGGTTTAGGTGAGGAAGGGTACCATGGCGTCATTCTTCCATCTTTACCCACGCGCGCCTAACGGCACTTTTACCCTCTTCATGCCCAGGCCAATTTTCACCTTTCAGCGCTGCTGCACTTGACACACGGTTATGCAACACTGTACCCATATGACATGTTTATCATTTTTTCACACAAATAGAGATTTCGTTTGGTGGTATATATAATCACCACTGGGGTTTTTATTTTTTTGCGCTATAAACTAAATAAGATCAAATAGTTTCAAAAAAATTTGTTTTCTTAGCTTCTGTTTAAACATTTTGCAAATAATATTTCTATACAAATTTAGGCCAAAATGTATTCATCTATGTCTTTGGTGAAAATAAACCAAATCCGTGTTTATTATTTAGTTGGTAGGAATGTTGTAGAGTCCACAAACTATGGTATACTGTATATCTAAACATGGATAAATCCTGATGTACTGGTGGCTGATCTCATTTCTTGAGGCCCAAAAATGGCAGGACAGTAGAAATACCCCCCAAATGACTGCTTTTCAGAAAGTAGACAGTCTGAGGTATTGCATAAGAGGCATGGCAAGTTTTTTGAAATTGTAATTATTTTGTCATGATTTTGTGGAAAATAAAGAAATGGAAAAAAAGTCACTTTTTTTTTCTTTTTTACATACTGCAGTACATTAATTTTGGTCCCTTGAAAAAAAAAAAAAAAAAAAAGGGGGGGGGGGATAGCTATTCTTAAGAGCTGTAATTCCTAAACCATTCCTCCAATTTGGCTGTACATACCCTCAAATTAAACCTGAGAGTGTGCACTTTCAGCTCATATCCATTATATAACTATAGCTTTAATATGTTTTTGGTAAATACCTGAAAAAATACTAAAATTGTGTGTAATACAATTAGGTCTATATATATTTGAACACAGGCACAGTCTTGGTTTTAATTGTATATGAACATTATAACAAGGTGAGAGGCTACAGCAGGGGCTGATCTGTGTTGGGCATTTGTGAACACAGGTAAGATCTGTACAGACACCAGGATTTACATGATTGTATCACCTCTGAGCCAGCGTCTCACTCCAGTAGGTAGATGGTGACCCTTTGTGATGCCTGAGCAAAGATGGCTCTGTCCTTTCTGAGAGCAAAGCAGATGAAGGCATTGTTAGGGGTCATACTGTGCTCTAAGAGGCAATACATACCTGGAAGTGTTACACGCTATTAAGCATGTGCCTAGAGTTTCACCTTAAAGGGGATTTCCAGGGTAAAATGGCCGTGCCTTATTGAGATCTCTGTTATAGTATAATCTAGATATCTCCAGCTCCCCGCAATCTACTTGATTGCTTATTGGGCCAGTCCAGTGAGGGAACTTGCACTGGATCTTGTACAGAGAATGTGTGTCACAATGCCAAGATTCACCAGGAGGGGTGCAAGGCATGACATCGTAATTCTAGGGAGGAGTCCACAACACACAACAGGGTTCAAGTAGTTCTGACTTCATTTTCAAGAGACAAATCTCATCTCACAGATTTTTTTTTTTTTTCCTGACTACCTAGCTGAGTTATTTGTATATTGTCATTTGCATGGATTTGACTTTAGCACGCTGAGTCTATATATAAATATATATATATATATATATTATTTTCCCACACACGCGCATCACCTCCCAGGAATACATTTCATCAGTTCTCTGGTACAGATTTCTCATATTCTTAAAATTCTTGTACAAAGAACATCAGTAGAAGTAACCATTGCACACTCTTAGCTGAACTCCAGGTAAAAAGCTTCTACATATGAATTTCATCTGTGTTTTTAGCCCTTTTTGTTTATCTGCCAAAGGATTTGTATTTCTATCCAGCCAGTCCTGAGATTTACACAGCTCTGACACACAGTACAGCCCTGTTTGGTAAGGCAGGACAGGACAGGACAGGACAGGAAACCTGATCTTTCTCAGCTGCAGTTCAGTAACACTTCCAGTTCTTGTCCCTCCCCCAGCCTGTGACTGGGCAGTGAAAGGAGAAGCAGCTGACTGATGAGCTCATCTCTATCTTACCTCCTATCAGAATGTCCCTTTTAGCATATATGAGCACTACCACACACATCTAATTGGCTGCAGATGCTGCTTTTTCCTCTTCCAGACTAAGCTCTGCTATACAGGGGCTGCAAGGCTGATACCAAGTCACATTCAGGTACTTACACTGCTTGCATTGTATGAATGCGTTGTTGTAACATGAGTTATTGCATCATGGTTTCATTTTTAAATGATCTCCCTGTGACAATCGCGGCAGCCGACCCCCAGCCCGTCTCAACCAACTTGTGACCGAAGGACTAGCCATCTAAAACCACGCTGTCACGTGTGTAACAGTGCCACACTCAGTTGCGCCCTGCATAAAGATTTTCCAGCTAATGCACCACAATCTACGTACCTGAGAGCGATTGTTACTGGGTCAGGTTAATTACGCAATTAACACTTCACACTGCCACCATCGCCTTTTTGTAGAGAAAAAGGAGGAAACTTGCCAATCGTAGTATTAACACTATGATGTTTGCATAAGCGTCTGGATACACACTGTCACCACAGGCAGAGGTATATAGAGGTTTAAAAACACACAGTAGTGCTCTTCAGCGACAGGGATTCTTAGTTTGCATTAAAGAGCTTTAGAAACAGTTCAACACTTTTCAGAAAATAAGATTTATTACTAAAAAGGTCAAAATGGTGCAATAAAAGTATTTACAGAAAAAGATGTAGCCTATATATATATATATATATATATATATATAAAAATACAGAGAGAGAGCAATAACACAGCAAAGAGATAACAGAAAGAAATTTAGAGAAGTAGAGTACTTGCCAAAAGTCCTGGGTTAATAAGCAGATCAAGTTTCAGAGCAAAAGCGTACTGTCTCCAAAGTTGGTTCCGATGTTAAAAGGGAGAATTCTTCAAAATACTGCTCCAAGCATAACAGCCTTTTTCTAGGAACTCTGGAGGGTGTCTCCTTACAGCAGAGAACCAATCGCCTCATTTGGGGTGGGGTGTTGTAGGCGGGGAACTCAGGCTATGACCAAATCCCTCCCAAGTTATACAATGGTCAATAACCTTCCCTAGGTACATGTAGCAGCCTAGCCACTAGTAGATTAATATGGAGAACGATATTCTGAACGTCCAGACATCAAATATGGCATAGTTCACTATTCCAGCTAGAACTATATGGCTTTCTGCTCTCCTGTATACATAATCCAGGGGCACAAGATATCAGACGACTTGCATTAAGCTGAGCTATCTGAATATGTGCTTCATTTTTATGTAATTATTTCCTACCTTAAGATATGAACTTATAGGGAAAAGTGGGTTTTAAATGTGAGGCCTGTTTTATGGCTAACTAGAAATGCGTTTGAAGCCCAGTGAAGGACTGGTTGATGGCTTTACGATTATCTCAGATTGAGACGCTAACAGACACCCGGGCACCAGCTAATTTGGGATTTATAACCATAAAGCTGTGCCTGATGCCCGTGCATTTCTGAACCCAGCACACAGGGACCATGTGTCACTCAACAGAGAGGGAGGGGGGAAGCTGATTTGGAGTAGAAATTATACAAGATGGAGGGCCTTTGGAAAAATGGAGGTTCGCATCCATCTCTGTACATACAATTGCTACACCCCCAATGCAAGATCCCATCTGATTTTTGGCTCATTGTGATGTGTTGACAGTCCATCCATTTCAATGAACTACAATAATGCAACACCCATTAATGCACAACATAACGAATGTTAACACAGTGCAAAGAAGTAAATGGGTCCTTAGGTCTGGTTCATACCTATGCGTGTGAGCCAGAAGTGGCTGAAAATAGGCTGCAGAAGATAAGCAGCACCAAACATTATCAAAGACTGAAAAAAGGTGAACAAGGATTTTGTTGACAAAACATGGTAACTGATTATAATACACAGCACACAGAACAAATGACTTCATTCAGGTATGGTTTAGAAGGAGTGACGATTATAAATTACTGTGCAATTATCAGAATTCCTTTTAAAGCAAAGCTTCATTACGTGGGTTTAGAGCGTAAACAAAGCCCAAAGCCCAGTGTTGGAAACCAGTGTAGTAATGCAAGGCAATATCATTTCCACTATAGAAATGTCAAGGGTCACAAGTGTTTTATTTGTAACTGTCCAAATTCCAGTGCTGTCCCAGTATACCTGCCTTGGAGCGCTGAGGTCAAGAATGTATTCCCAGTAGGGCACCCTGCTAAGTTGTTTGGTCTCTAGCCACACTTGCTGTTGTGTGCAGCAGTGTACCAGATCAGTCCACACAATATATACAAAATTTGGCACTGGAGGGGTATAATAAAGCTACACGAAAGTCCATACGGTCCATCAAAAAGTCCATGTGCGGGACCATTAGTGTTCACAATGACAATATGTTTTCAAACAGCAGCATCAGTGGCAGCACCCTCAGAGCAAAGCTGAACTCTGTGGAAAAGAAGAAGGAAGCCAGACTAACTGCAGCATTAAATGTACAATTTATTAGTAAGAATGACAATTATCATGTCACCAAATGTAGTCCAGGCTCCTGGGAGGCAATGGAGGGCGGTGGACGAGTGGTATCCATGCGTCTGATTTTGGCTGGAAGGGTATCCTGGAATGGCCGGTCGCCACTGGGAACCAGCATGGAACGCAAATGGTACCAGAGCGGGCGTGACGTCTGCGTAGGAGTGTGATGACATGGGTGGGCGGTAACAAGTTGCAGAGCTTCTTCCTCAGACCCAGCCCAAATAAACCAGTTGCTGGTACCAGCACGTCCATTCCAGTGCCATTTGCATTCCACACTGGTTCCCTGCAGAAGCCGGCTGCTCCAGGATACCCTTCCAGCTAAAATCAGATGCATGGTACTACTTGTTCTCCATTGCCTCCCAGGGAGCCCACACTATTTGGTGACATGTTTTCTTTTTTCTTCCTGTGAGTTGCCAATTGCCATTTTTACTAATAAATTGTACATTTAATGCTGCACTTAGTCCGGCGCCCTTCTTCTTTAACAGATCAGTCCAGAGTAGGGTGTCATTCTGCCTACTTGAGGGTATTGCTGTTTTTGGCATTGAGAACCTGGAATTAGGTAGTGTGGGGTTTAACACCATAAAAAAAAAAAAAAAAGTGTCCACAGGACCCCAAAGGATGCTAAACACCATCTGTATTCTTCAAAAATATTCCATACACATCCACTGCCCTGTAATCTATTTTTCATGAAATTCATTTTCTTCCTCTTTGTAACATCCTCAGTGAACTCCCAAACCTCTCCTTTTCCCTTCTCATGTCCGTTTGTTTGAACCAAGCACTGCATGGAAGTAGCAGTCATGTGCTCTGCTCTATGCACACTACAGATCCTATAGTCCATCTCAGGAGCAAGAGAAGGTTGCTACATCCTTTCCATACAGTGGAACTATGTAGAATGAGCATAGCCATCCTCCAACAGAAAGTCGGATCACAGCTGCAAAATAAAAAAAAAAATATATATATATATATATATATATATATATATATATTTTTAAACTTTTATTAAAAGAAAAAAAAATTGTGTCCATTTAACCAGCCGCTATGGTTAGCTTTCACACCTAACTCAATCAACAAAAGGGCACAGTTAGACTGCTTAGTTAACATGCATTAAAACTCTATTGGTGAGTTGCCAGGTCTGCACATCTGGTGTGCCCATTATAAAAATTTAGCAGGAATGGTGGGAGCCCCTTATATTACAAATAATACAACAGGCACAACTGGGACACACAATGGCTGGATGGGGACAGAGTACGGTATTATGGCAGGAAGCTCTCATTGTTGGGTGCAACAAGACCTAATAAGCCAGGGGCTGACTCAGCCTACCAGGCTCCTCCTATAGCTAAAATATACCTTCAGGGTGGACCAATCATTTAACCCAACACCCTAAATTCAAACCTTAATCCTTACAAAGCCATACCCACCCTGTTATATCTAAATGTCCTGCACCAGGATGTGATGCAAAACCATCCAGGAACTTTAAAAAAAAAAAAAAAAAAAAAACACCACACCTGTAGGACCAAGACACCAGCACTGATTAGTCTCAGTCAAGGAGCATCCTGAATGTATTTTTTTTAATCCTCTACATAGCGTAGACAGACTTTGCCCTTAGCTAGGAATGAGGATGTGTTTTCAGTTACAGGATTGTGGAAGTTGTCCGGCCAGTTTTAGCAGCTCTGGAGACACAATAAGAAGCCCAGCCCTCTATTATAACAAAGTCACACGTCAAAGAACACGATACATCGCAGTGTAAGCCTACAGCTGCTTCATACTGACCTTCAATACATGGTGTGGGGCTTCCGAAATCTTGATGGCCATGTAAGCCTTCCATGATGGGTCAAACCTCTTCTGCTCAGATCATTGTCACCCAAGCAGACAAGTCAGATATTGTCTGTGAGATCTTCAGCCAGGGAGTGGTGCATGCTTCCCAAAAACTAAAGGACTATCTTGGATTCGAAGACCCCCATGGCAGTTTCCGTCCCAGCACAGACACCCTAACAGAGATCTTTCTGGTCAACTTCATCACCTTCTGCACGGAAAAGGGAGTCGAAGAACGAATTGCTACCAGCAAAATGACCAAGCAGCAAGCAGTCTTGTTTGGTGTGGACTGGATATGGAGTCTGCTTGGCCCCGACAAAACCATGAGGCTCCAGGTAGCTGTCCAGGCCTTACAGATGTCCGATTTTAAGGAAAATGGGCGAGGAGACCCAATAGAGTACGGCCCCTGCAAGGAAATCCAACTGACTGACACATTTTACAAACACAAGAGTCCATATGAGAAGCTGGAGGAGTTTTGTCGGCTGGTGGGCTCAGATTGTCTAGGTCTCTTCATCATCTTCGGCCTGCCAGGAAAACCCAAGGATGTGCGAGGTATCCTATTGGACAGCGTCAGCAGGGAAAATAAAAAGAATTCAGTACCGGCCGAGACAGCTTTGCAGCAATTCATCCTGAATACAGACAATTTCCTTCCCACAAAGGAGTTGTTGGACACTTGTATGTCCAAGAGGAACGGGCAAAGGAACATTGGAAAAGTATATATCAACTTTTTATAACTGTTGGTGGAGGATGTTTTATCAAGATGCTGAGTGGAAACATTTGGTTTACAATGGAGATACATCCAATGTTTTTAAATGTTTCCTATTTATGGACCTGCCAGATACAGGTAATGAAAGAGATAACAGGTTGTATTTTTGGACTTTAAAGAACCTTGTTTTCAACAACATTGTGCTTTTCAGTTGAATTGGAGTCATTGGAAGTGATTTCCTGCATTGTTGGCAACATGAAACCTGTGTCACCTGACTGTCCGCTTATAACATTGTGCCACTGCCAAACACCGCAGCAATGATGTTTGGTTTGAAATAGGAAATTATTCTTAATGATATGTTTAATACAAAATTAAAAATTTTAGCTTTTTGCTTCCCTTCTAGAAACTATTTGACCTAAAAGTCATCAATATGAGAAATTACATTAAAAAGAATTAGCTGGAACTGGGATTTTAAGAGGTATTAAACCTAAAACAAAAATGTAATATAGCACACTTAGCTAATCCTTAGATGTGGTGGCTGCATTTGTTTCCCTTTTATTGCTTCTCCCCCCCCCCCCCCCCCCCCAATCATCATTTGTTGATCCAACCAGTAAGTCTTATTTTTCAACTTCCATTAGTGATACTTTCTGGACAGTTTAGTCTGCTTGAGGGTTAAGACAAAGTCTATGGTTGACAGGTGCTTACAATGCTCAGCTTTTATTAACCACTTGCCCTCCTGAGGATTTACCCCCCCCCCCCCCTTCCTGACCAGGCCATTATTTGCGATATGGGACTACGTTCTTTTAACTGGCAATTGCACGGTCATGCAACACTGTGTATAAATTAAATTTGGGTCCAATTTTTCCCCACACATAGAGCTTTCTTTCAGTGGTATTTGATCACCTGTGCGGTTTTTATTTTTTGTGCTAAAAAAAAAAAGTTTTAAGAAAAAAAAAATGTTTGACTATTAAACAAAAAAAAAAATCTCAATATGTGTGAACAAATTGGTTTACATGAAAGTTATAGCGTTTACAAATGGCGGTGTATATACTGGAATTTTTTTTTTTTTTTTTTAAACTAGTGGCAATCAGCAACTTATAGTGGGACTGTGGCAGGCATTCTGACACTGGGGGGAACTGACTTGGTATCACTGACAGCCCCAGTGACACCAATTCAGTAATGGGTGCTAATAAAAAAGCACTGACTGTACTAATGGCACTGGACAGGAAGGGGTTAGCATGCAGAGCCATACAAAGCAGTGTGCAGGAGCTGACAGGAGAGATTTGTGTTTCTACACAGATTTTCCCCCCCAGCGGAGATACTCAGCGATCACCGGGTGCCACCAAGTAATCACTGGCCGGGACCCGGTGATTGCCGGCCGAGGCCACGAATAGAGGTGCGGGTAGGGCGCACGCACACGACCCCTACCTGGAACTCCCAAATCACGTGCATATACACGTGACTTTGCACACCCGTGCCGCCCTGTAGCATTATTTCTACAATAGGGCAGTGGTTGTAAAGGTAGTTTTTTTTTTTTTTACCTTCATGCATTCTATGAAAAGAAAGAAAAAAACAAAACAAAACAAAAAAAACACAAAACCACCTTCTGTGTGCAGCAGCTTCCCATATTACTCTCCTAAGCCTCCTCTCAATCCAGTGATATGTACTGGAGTCTCAGCTATTCCAGGACCCCCTCTCCTCTTTGGCTGTATGTATATAAAAAGTACACACTTTTTTTTTTTTTTTTTACAACACACCCCAACTTTTAAACACCCCTTGTGAAAATCTAACCTCCTCTCTATATTTATTAAGCTGTGACAACAGGTTTCCATTGGGCTTCTGTTGCAATGTGTACATGCAACCGGCCATCGCATTATGTCCACCCACATGTGTGCAGTAGAACCCCATTCATTGCTGTGAGCACGGAGACCAGTCTGGTTGTAATGATTGAAGTAGTATAAAGGTTGGACAAAAAAAAAGAATTCAGGAAGCTGTCAATCTGGCAGACAGTTTTAAACTCAAAACTCCCATTTCATTAAAAATAAAGAAATCCTCTCCAGTTTTGCCATATACATTGCAATAACTTTCACATCTCATTGCAGATTCTTACCTGCACACATTGTGTAAATCCAGAGAAAGATCATTACGCTTCTCAAACAGATTCAGAAAAAATGAGGAAGGGTTGTAACAGCGCAAACACGGCAAAGTCCTGGGAAATGGTAGTATGGGGTGATGGTGGTATTAGTGGCTACTGTATGAAGAGCGTAGGATTCCGTGTGGCACTGAGGGCAAGGCTTCCAAATAAGCTGTAGCAACTTCTGTAGATGAGAAAAAGGAGAGAAGCGCCTCTAAGTGCAATAAGTCTTTTAATTCAAGTTTAAATGTAGAAACAGTCACATGTGTGAAGTAATCATAAGCATAAAAACCGTGGTTAACAATCGTTAACGGTGGGGTGGTAACCCGGGTGAAGAGCCGTCATCTCTCTGCGATGTGGGGAGGTCAGCTCTCGGCTGGAACAGCGTGGTGGCTGGAGGGGGAACAGTGGTGAGGCCAGCCTTCATGCACGTCCTCCCTCAAAGCTGGATGGAACGCACGCTGGAACGTAGCGGCGGCATGGCCGTGATGAAGTCAGATCCCAGGGTGCACTGCGACGCGTTTCGGAGCATGCACTGGCCGTGGAAGGCGGAAGTGCACTCCTTTTTCAAGCAGCTGCGGTTTTTATGCTTATGATTACTTCACACATGTGAGTGTTTCTACATTTAGACTTGAATTAAAAGACTTATTGCACTTAGAGGCGCTTCTCTCCTTTTTTCTCACGCTTCCTCAAACATACTAGTCCGTGAAAAAGGTCCAACTGCTATATTCACTTAACCAGTCCCGGTGTTCTGCTAATCAGCAACATGACAGACATATGGAAAGAAGAGCAGGGCATGCTTGCTATTTAACCTCACATTTTGTGCAGATCGATTGGCTCACTGATTTTTCCCCAGACAGAAGATGAGGGAATGTGTGGCTCAGAACAGCTCCAAGCAGTCTCGGATGGAAGAAAAAACCAACATTTACATTTTTGTGCATTTTAGAAAGGCAGTGTTTCTGTAGACGGAAATGTAAAGCTCCTTTTTAATAGTGAATTTGAACTGGCTGCTTATTATACATTTAATATCTGTTTTGTGTGCAGTTTAATTTTTTAAATACCACTACAAATACGTTTATTACAAGATGTTCCCTTGAGAGTTGTACGTTGAGACTGACATTGCCTCCACCTGTTCATTATTTATTAGTAAAGCTACTTTGAACTGATTTCCTAAAGGAGCTGCGACTCTTTATTCAAAGATTGTATGAGATGAGTGTTCCCCTTTATCAGCTGAAAGGAATCTATGCCTAATTGGATATTTCAAGTGAACAGGAATTAGCTTCTCCCATCAAGAGTCACTTTTTAGTGATGATTTTTTTAAATCCTTCAGTAAATTTGCCTCACCTTGTCTGAAGTGCAGGTTTCATACCCCCCCCCCCAGCCTTAAAGGGGACATCCATTTTTAACCCTTCCCTGTTCAGTGACGAGAGATTCTGAGCAGTGGGCTGTAAAGTTGTTTTTATTTAAACTAGAAATCATTTTAATTTGCCATTTTATACCAAAAAAAAAAAACCACAGACAGGGCTTCATTTTGAATGTACAATAAGAGCGATATACTGTACATACTCCATACAGTTCATTGATATACACAGCTGACACCCAGTGGATTGCTGAGAAATTGTATTTATCACTCAGTGTAAAGTGCATCCATTTTAAAACATAATACATCTTGTGACAATTAACTTCTAGAACATGTTTATACTGTCTCTTTGCCCCAGGTGCACGCGTCTAGGATACAGCAGTCCATTCATCTAAGTGGGCTGCTGACACAGGGAAAGAAGTCCTGACTATTTAAAAAACAGGCCACACAGAACCGAATGTTGTGTGTTTTGGCCTGCAGGCCGGGAACACACGTGATTATACATGCATTCCTCACCTGTACATATGTGAACCTAGCCATATCCTCTTCCCAAATGTAGCAGATCAAGTACATAAGAGTGTCCCCCATTTATGACAACAGATGAATGAATGTCAATTTGCCAAATATAGTGGCACAAAAAGCCAAAAAGACGGCAAGACCTGGGGGCACTTATTAAAGCAGAGTTCCAGCCGTTTGTTTATTACAGTTTTTGTAGCTGCTGACTTTTAATAAAACACACAGTTACCTGTTCCAGAGTCCAGCAATGTTCTCACCCACGCTGTCCCTTCTCTCCTCCATGGCTCCGGCATCTCAACTGTGGGCACCAGGCTGTGACAGCTTGTGGCTTTACAGCCTGGTGCCCACTGCGCATGCATGAGTTGCATTGCGTCTTCCGATTAGTCCGGCAGTCTTCTGGGACCTGTGAAAGTTCCCAGGAGACTGCGGGAGGAAGGAGGTGGCTAAACTTCCGGCTCACTTCACCACGACGAACTGAGGTGAAGTGGGAGCAGGTACCTGTCAAAAGTAGGTACCCACTACACCCCCCTGTAGCAAACTTGCTCATCAGAGTTGGACGTGGAGTTCCCCTTTTTTATTAGAAGTACTCCTCAATCCTTTATTCCCTACCCCCTCCCTTCCTGAGAGGGACAGATGTGTAAGTGTTAAAAGTTGCTGGCAGGCTGGAGCAGCAGGGGGGCCCAGCATTACAAAGCCCCCCCCCATAGAGACAGCAGACTCTGTCCCAAGGCCTGTGTAAAATATCACACCTCCTAATCAAGATAAGATAGTTTTGAAAGAACTTGAAGGAAGTTGGAACCTCATAAACCCTGCCAGCCAGGTGACAGAAGTTAAATGAACATTCCTCAGGTCAGTTGTCACCTATGTTTCATATCATGTATTATGAAGCTGTCAGTTTTAATGCAGAGCCCCTCCGACAATCCCACCCAAAACAGGCCATTTTACATTCATCTTATACACACACCTCATTAGTTTGAGAAACTACAGTCTCCCACTTTCTGTAAATAAGATATTTGAATGTAGTTAGCAGATGAATAATAGAATTAAACTTTAAATCTGATCTACAGGACAACAGCTAAATACATACATGATATACATAAATGGGAGTGGTGTCACCTGCCAAAGGGTTTGGATTTCAGTCCATGGGACTTGCACAGTTTAATGTCTGGCAAGGCAGGCAACCTGATTTTTTGCAGTTTCACTTTCACCCAAAAGATCCCCTTCGCAGCCCAGGAGAGGGAGGTGAGCCTACATGTCTCAGCCCCCGCTGAGGTCTATAGCTGCTTCTTGTACTATAAGGCACCCTAATTGGATAGAATGTGAACAGATGGTTTTAGTCCTTCACTGTACAAAACTTATCATCAGATTTTGATCTGTCAAATCAGTTGTGTGGCCAACTGAACATTCCTTCATTCTCACAGCCACTGCAAACCAAAATAATAAGACTCAGATTTCAAACGCATTCTCAAAATTGATTTATATTTATGAGAAGATAATAAAAAATACATTGTACACAGGCTTCCAGAAAGACAAAGTTATGCTGCAAAGAGGATGTCCAAGGGGGCTGCAGGCTGGACAGGAGAACTTTCATAGTGCAAATAGAAAGACAACGGCTTTGTGCTGAGAGATCTGACCTCAGGCGTGTTAAATATGAACTGTCTGTGTTGCCCAGCAGTCTTAAACATTCAGATATCAATAGATGGAATGTAGTTGGTACAGCCTGATTGGTGGCTCTGGGTAGGACAAACAGTTCTTCAAAACAACTGCATAAAAGGGGGTTAAGCGTAGTGCACACTTTGGGGTACACAGCAAAGTACAAGAGACGGATTTAACATTTTCCTGCCTGAAAGGGGAAATTCATTGCAAGAGCTAAAGTGTAACTCTGACCCCAAAAAACATCAGCTATTTTAGAACTATCGCTAGTGTTAACACTTTATTGGTGAGAACCAACACTGTCATTTAGACATGTCAGAAAAAAGGTGCAGCCTTGATCTCTCCTTCTACGAACTACAAGTCCCAGCATACCAAGCTGCCTGGCAAAGCATGCATGTCTAAGTAGTTCAGCAACAGTTGGAGAGAAAAGAGCAAACCATGAAGGAACAAACTTCTGTTCAAAAACAAATTTGCAAGTATCCAAAAAACAAACTTAAACCAATGAAAAAAAAAAAAAAAAAAAAAAAAAAAAAAAAGTGTATGAAAACCCAAAATGTATTTTTCATTGTTTACCATCATGTCTCATTGTGTACAGTTTTCCTAAGCAAATCTTTTTGTGAGTCATCTCTACTTGAAGATCCTGCTAGCAACAGCACTTCCTGTTGCAGCCAAACAAAATGCCATTGCCTTGCAATTAGTAGTACTGTCAGCCTTTGCTCATTCAGCTGCTTATCAGGTTTATCAGATAGATAGCCCAATGGCCACCTGAGGGGCCTCGCTCAATAGGCAAAGACTGACAGTCTGAAACAGGAAGTGCTGCAATAGGCAGGATCTCCAGTTAAGACATGTTGCGAAAATCACAAAAAAAATAATTATTTGCTTAAGCAGCTGTATACAGTGAGGCATTGCCTAACATACTGGAAAATAAATGTAGGGTCCACGCATACACTTCAAAAGGAACCCAAACTTTGTGGATCAAAAATGATTGCAGGGGTTTAAAATGTAATACCTTGAAAGTGAAAATGTGACATAAAATACATGTTTCACAAACCTTCAGCCTTATAGCTTAATCCGATCCCTCATACAGCTCCCACTGAATTTTTTTAACCTACCCAAAAACAACAAACTTTCGGCTGAAGCTAAAACAGGCGATTTTTAATCTCTTGCTACTTAACTACTTGCCAATCAGCAACTGACAAGAAGCAGTTAAGTCTCATGTTACCAAGTAATTAAAGACTGAACATGTAGCCGAGTTGATGCCCAACTTCTCTCTGGTGCCTCTCATATACGATACCCTTCCTTATGCCACCATGTTACCATCTGGGATGGACTGCTAGCTTTGCCTGGTGTCTGTTTCATAACCAAGAAGAAAATATAAAGCAATACAAACACTGAATATGCGGATACAATGACAAGGCGGCAGATTGCAAAAGGCTTGTGACGATACACTTGCTCTTTGCTCCAGGTCTGACGCAGGCTTTGTCTTTCCCATATTAGCGATCCGGGGCTGGACATAGAAGGGCTAATAGGCAAACCTCCTGTCCTGGGGGTAGCCCAGCTTGTCCAGGCTTGGGTTAATGGCATACTGGACCATTGGCGGGGGACCACACATCAAAATCAGAACATCATCCCCAGGAGGTGGCATGAAGGACTTTACCATGTCCTCGTTTACGAATCCCTGGCTGTAATCCCATTCTGAAACAACATTAGAAGCAGTGTTACACTTAAGACCTTGTCATCAACTTCAAAAGATTACAGTTAAAAGGCACAGAAAAATCAAATATTTTAAAATTCCTTACTTGCACCTTTTTTTGTTAAATTAGTTTTCTTGGAGTAATTGCAATGTGTATTTGAACTAGAAAATTTAGAGTCAATTCCATCACAGCCCCCTCCCTCATTGCACATCATAGCAATCTTTTCTTCTGGGAGTGTCTATTTACTGCCTTTGCTGCCCCAGCTCCTCCACACCTCCCCTCCTTACATACTGTAACCTCTATCCAATACCCGTAAAAAAACGCAGTCCATCTTTTTAAATAGGACAGAATTTCACTTTAACAAAAAAAGTCTAACAATTTGGTTTGGGTGAAAAATGGTCTGTTTAAGCAAAATCAACCCTGAGGAGATCAGTCCACAAAATTACAGATGCTCAACCTCTGTAGCCAAAGTCAAAGTAGAATACGATGATCGTTGGGTTACCAATCTTCGGTGTATATACACTGCTCAAAAAAATTTAAAGGAGCACTTTTTAATCAGAGTGTAGCATCAAGTCAGTGAAACTCCTGGATATTGATCTGGTCAGTTAGATCAGTCAGTCTGGTATGTAGCAGAGGTGGTTGTTAATCAGTTTCAGCTGCTTTGGTGTTAATGAAATTAGCAACAGGTGCACTAGATGGGCAACAATGAGATGACCCCCAAAACAGGAATGGTTTTACAGGTTGAGGCTACTGACATTTGTTCCCTACTCATCTTTTGTGACCGTTTTTCACTAGTTATGCATTTGGCTAGGGTCAGTGTCACTACTGGTAGAATTTGGCGATACCTGTACCCTACAGAGGTTGACCAGGCAGTCCAACCCTCCAGGATGGCACATCAATACGTGCCATTGCCAGAAGGTTTGCTGTGTCTCCCAGCACAGTCTCAAGAGCATGAAGGAGATTCCAGGAGACAGGCAGTTACTCTAGGAGAGCTGGACAGGGCCATAGAAGGTCCTTAGCCCATCAGCAGGATCGGTATCTTCTCCTTTGTGCAAGGAGGAACAGGATGAGCACTGCCAGAGCCCTACAAAATGACCTCCAGCAGGCCACTGGTGTGAAGGTCTCTGACCAAACAATCAGAAAGACTTCATGAGGGTGGCCTGAGGGCCGATATCCTCTAGTGGGCCCTGTGCTCACTGCCCAGCAGTTCGATTGCCATCTGACATTCAACACCAGAACTGGCAGGTCCGCCACTGACGGATTGTGCTTTTCACAGATGAGAGCAGGTTCACCTTAAGCACATGTGACAGACGTGAAAGGGTCTGGAGAAGCCATGGAGATTGTTATGCTGCCTGTAACATTGTTCAGCATGACTGTTTTGGTGGTGGGTCAGTGATGGTCTGAGGAGGCATATCCATGGAGGGACGCACAGACCTCTACAGGCAGACAATGAATCCCGACTGCCATTAGATATTGGGATGAAATCCTTGGACCAATTGCCAGACCCTACACTGGTGCAGTAGGTCCTGGGTTTCTCTTGGTGCACGACAATGCCTGGCCTCATGTGGCGAGAGTATGCAGGCAGTTCCTGGAGGATGAAAGAACTGATACCACTGAATGGCCCCCACGCTCGCCTGACCTAAATTCAGTAGAACACCTCTGGGATATAATGTTTCGGTCAATCCGACGCCACCAGATTGCAACTTAGGCTATCCAGGAGCTCAGTGATGCCCTGGTCCAGTTCTGGGAGGAAATACCCCAGGACACCATCCGTCGTCTCATTAGGAGCATGCCCCAACATTGTCAGGCATGCATACAAGCACATGGGGGCCATACAAACTACTGAGTACCACTCTGAGTTCCTGCAATGACATTTCAGCAAAATGGACTAGCCTGCTGCATCATTTTTTCACTTTGATTTTTAAAATTCAGTCCCCTGTAGGTTGATAATTTTCATTTCCATCATATGATGGGGCATCCTTACGTTCCTAACACATTACCCAGTCCATATCAGTATAGAGATCAAGCATGACATTTTTTCCCATTGAGATCTGATGTGTTTTCAAAGTGTTTTTTTTTGAGCAGTGTAGTATATGGAGTATATGAAATAAAGGCTTCTTACTCTCAGGAGCGCGATCCAACGTGTACCATAGTTTGAAGCGGGAGCTGTGGTTGACCTGGATTTCTTCCAACTCATCCCGTAAAAGGATATCCTTCTCCGTCTGCAATACAACACAAACACCAACACCGTCACAGACAGCAATGTAATTACTATACCTTAGATTAATAAAATGTCAGACCTTATATCAAAGCCAGAATAGCACAAACACAGCCATCATAAGGTGAGCCCTATATGGACTGTCTGAAAGTCCAATGAGGGGTCTCTCCACAAGTCTCTCAAGGGCAAGGTGTTGCATTGTGGGATATAATGTGAGAATGTTTATACTCTCGATACTTTCAGGAAGTCATTACTGCCCAGAACACTGTGGGGAAGTTACAGACTTCTCATGATCCCCACTCTCAGTTAGTCACTTATGGGAGCCCAAGTCATGTACTTTACAAACCTGGTTAGCAAAGAGCAGATAGCACACTGTAGGGTCAGCTTTGTCCTTCATGATAGCGCGGATGAGCTGTAGCATTGGGGTTATTCCTAAGAGGGGAAAAAAAAAAACAGGCCATTAGGTCAGAGGATTGGAAAGGGAACAGAGAAGTCTGAGGACAGTTGGAGAGTCAGGACGGTCAGATAAACCTTTACATAGAGTAGAACTCATAGCACAGACTGAAGTACAGCAATCCTCTAGGTCTCATGTATGGAGAACTATAAAAAAAAAAAAAAACTAAATGTCTACACAACACAAAACACTCTGTTATTGGATTCAGTGGGATTGTAATGCACGAGGGTCAAGGTAAGGAAAGTAAAGCCCCTGGTCTCAGCTGTACCTGTCCCCCCAGCGATCATTCCTAGGTGTGTCGCCTTCTTCGTAACTGCTGCAGATTCTTGTCCGCTTGGATCTTGAAACTTCCTGAAAAATTCAATTCATCATATTTAAAAAAAAAAAAATTAGTAATTGGCATTCCCAGACAGGTCATTGAAATAATCTTATATGATAGTTAAACCATATAAAAAGTTATTTATAATCTGCAATAAGGGATACTTAGTGCCAAGAACAAACACGTAGATCTAACAAACACACAGATATAACAAACACTAATCCAGTTATGTAGTACCTAAAAACAGGAACTGTACTTTGAAATCAAGCTAGTCTAAAACTTGATAATTTGTGTACAGCACACCAGGAGAGGAAGGACGGACTTTTAATTGATCTGTACAGAGCTGCCAATTTAACAGGAGGGTTAGAGCAAGCAAGCATAAAAAACACCCAAAAAACTTCAACATGCTACATTCCACCTAGAACTTACCGCAAAAAACATAAAAATAGTTTTACAATGTCCAAGAGTAGAAAAAAAAAAAAAAAAAAAAAAAAAAAAAAAAAGGAAGCAAAAAGGAGCAATAAAAAAAAAAAAAAAAAAAAAAAAGTGTTACCTTTCCCTCCATAAGTCAGAAGACCGCTGGGTCCGCGGAAGTCAATGGTGTCCCCTATTTCTAGTGCCTCCAAATACTGTGACATTTTACCTCCATCAGGGAATTTAGGATGAATATTTTTGAAGTAGATCTGAAATAGAAGTTTTGTTTTTTTTATTAAAAGTAATAAAATTGGGGGAGGGGGGAGAGAAGGTTTCCCAGTTTAAAAGCTCATGCACATAGTTGCTTTACTTGTAAATCAAAAACCTGACATTCTGGAATGCAAAAGGCGACACAGGTACAGCACACAGCCTGTCAAAATCACTGAGGCTGAAATAAACGGTAGCTGCACACTGTTCCGAGTGGGCATACATCCCTGAATGCATATGGCCCTAAAATGTGAGTACTCCTCAAAACTGTGCCCAACCACTGTGTATTTCTGCCCAATTTTAACAAGCTACTGATAAGAGTGGTGCACTGCACCTGGGCCTTATGGCTGCCGCCCCCCCAAAACAAACACTGCCCATGTGCATGACCCTCCAAGGATAATGCCACAAAGGGTAAGAATTACTAGTAGTACACCATTATATCGGCAGAACTTTGTGGAACAGTGACTAACACCTATAGGGGATTGTTGGACATACCATTCCAAAACCAATATATGCCATTGCCCCCATTTGTGCCCACGACTGCCTCCAATCTTCTGGGAAAGCATTTCCACAAGATTTTTGACTGTCTGTGGGAATTTGTGCCTATGCAGCCAAAACATTTGTGAGGTCAGGTACGGAGGTTGGATGAGAGGACCTGGCTCACAATTGGCATTGCAATTCATCCCAAACGTGTTCAGTAGGGTTGAGGATGCACAAGTGCCCAAAATGTGTTTGAATGCTGTAGTACTTGCAGCACCCTACACCGGAAACACATTGGCTCAGTCAACGGGAGGGGTGTCCACATACTTTTGGCCATATAGTGTATGAGGTTGTGTTCAGGGTGTGTTATTAGCCATCAGCTGCATCATTTTGCATACTGGTCTGTTTGCCCCTCGCTGCCTTCAGCTAAGCCACACAACAACCAGATCCACACCAGATCCTCACCTTAACAACCAGATCCACAAAGCCCTTGTTGTCATCACTGGACACTGGAGTGTAGGGTCGCACCACCAGATTCCCATCTACCCTGGCAGACAGGTAAATGTGTTGGCCTAAATATCAAATAAAAGAGGGGTAATTAAAAACACACTTTTCTAATACCATTATCTATAATTATAGATTTGATGGAAAGAGAAATCTGGATTTTGGTTATGTTAGCCAACGTTTCTGTAGTGTCACTATATACATCAGTGGTTCATATAGTGAACTCGGTGTAGAGCTATTCACCCTGAGGGCATCACAGGACAAGGGGGCACTCTTTACATCTAGAGGAAAAGAAATGTAATCTCCAAACACGGAAAGGTTTCTTCACAGTAAGAGCTGTGAAAATGTGGAATAGACTCCCTCAAGAGTTGGTTCTGGCCAGCTCAGTGGACTGCTTAAAAATTAAAAAAAAAAAAAAGGCCTGGATTGTTTCTTAGATACACAGAATATAACTGGTTACTAACATTTATAGGTAAAGTTGATCCAGGGAATATCTGATTGCCTCTCGGGGGATCAGGAAGGAATTTTTACCCCTGCAGGAGCAAACTGAATCATGCTTTGCTGGGTGTTTTTTTTTGCCTTCCTCTGGAAGAACTGTGGGTATAGGATTATAACTTTTTTCTATGGTTGAACTGGATGGACGTTTGTCTTTTTGTCAGCCAGGCTATGTATATACACAGTGGAATTGGTTATTATTTGAACTCAACTGCAGGGCCAAACAATGCTCACAACTTCCAGTGAATATCTTTATATAATTTAAAAAGGCATTATAAAAACTTTGCTACCTTCACCTGCAAAAGATGTGCATTGATCATGGAGTTTTATGGTGTCATTTGTTGCCCTGTACATAGTCTATAGTAGAACAAGTCTTCACATTCCCGTGTCAGAGGTTTCTGCTCAAACATGTGGCATGGTACCACAACAGTTAATGCATGACCTCTGTCTGTAGCATCAGACCTGACACTTCCTCTAAGAAAACTACATATCTCACAATCCCTGTGTCTTAGTCTAGTGTTCTGCAGGTTAGAGCCAAACAGTAATTAGATCTGAAACAGACAAGCAGGCAGAGTAATTCTTCATCACACTAGCACTTCCACATTTGTGATGCAACACAAGAAATGGCGAGGCATGTATTAGATGCTGTGTGACCAGGAACAAGAGGTTGCCTGTCCCTTTGGCAAATAGGGACAAGCAAGCTGAATACATGGACATAGGGGAATTGATCAGCCACGACACTACAAACTGCAGCCACAACATGTGAGCCCATCGTTACAAAGCAAGGCCAACAAAGGGAATAGAACTACATTAATACCTACTTAAAAACAATTAAAGCATTTGAAAGTGCATTATGCCTCTAAAGCTGAACTCAAATTTTCACTTTCAGTCTTGCAGTTGTACCAGCTCCTCCCTATACTGAAATAGCTTACTCTAATTTCACTGCACACTGAGCTTTTTACAGTGTGCATTAGAAGCTGCAGCAAGTCAGAACCCACCTCATTTTCTGGTTGATGACCAGTGCCATCTAGCCCTTTCCCCACAGACTGACCTGTCCCTGGCAAACTCCTTTCATTACCTGGATTTCAGTTCAGTTACCAAAGGATTTTACTGAGATTAAAACAAGGGGATACAATATGAGCTCAGGGGCTGCAGATATAGTTACGGTACATTGAATCTGAATGCCTGCTCACCAATCACGACAGATTAGTTGCCAAAAAAGCACCACCACCATCCCTTCTGAAACATATCCTAACTTCCTGTCTGGGAGAAAACAATGAGAAGAAATTTCTCCAAAACATGGGAATTCTTCTTAGATTGTGGCCACCAGAACATATACCTTCAGGATGAATAGAGAGCACAGATGGCAAACCAAATTATCTGGGATTCACCTGATTTGTATCAAAATAGCCCTTTATAGTTCATAAATCTCATACCCACAGGCAGGGATATCTGACCTGTAGGGGACTACAAAGTCATTACCTCAATCTGCCATTTACATTCCACTTGTTTGTTTTGAGCAGGCAAAAAGAGAAAACAAAAAGTTGAACAGTTTTCGTTTATCGGTATGTAAACGGTTCTGTAACTCACCGATGGGGAGACCCAGGATGTGCTCTGGAGATGGAAGAGCGAAGCGGAACATCCTCGTGTCATGGCTGATTTTCTGGAATTAAAATACACTATTTGGAATACACAGCATAGAATGAATGAACTATTGTATCATCTACAGGAGACCTGCATGGGTATTGTAGGCCTTAAAGTGCTTAGCCCATGCAGGGAAAACAACAGGCTCACTTTAAAGCCTAGCTTCAGATTTCATCCACCTTTAAAGCCCAACTCCAAAAATTACCATATTTTTCGCTCCATAAGACACACTTTTTTTCCCCCCAAAAAAGGGGGGAAAAGGTCATTGCGTCTTATAGAGCGAATATGGAGCGACCGGTCCAGTATTTCCACCGCCGCGTCAGAATACCGGGCCGGCCGCTCAGCTCTGCAGCAGGACCTTACCTGTGCAGTCTTCCCACGCCGGCTCCTTTAGTGTAGGATCTCTGCTCGACAGCCGGGTGCCCAGTGCGCATGCGCGAGAAGCGCATGCGCACTGGGCATGCAAGAAGCGTTGCACTTTGTGAATGGTACGGCGTCTTCTGGGACACATGACAGGTCCCAGAAGGTGTCAGACCAATCACAAAGCGCAACGCTTCTCGTGCATGCGCACTGGGCACCCGGCTGTCAAATTCAGGTACCCGCTCCCCCTCCCTCCCAAAGGTCAGCAGTCTCTGGTCATCCCCTGCACTGTCCCCGCAGTCTCTGGTCATCCCCTGCACTGTCCCCGCAGTCCATTAGTTCATAATATTTTTCTTGTTTTCTGCCTCTAAAACCTAGGTGCGTCCTATGGTCAGGTGCGTCTTATGGAGCGAAAAATACGGTACTATCAATGTACAAGCCAAGCTGACCCAAACAAACTATTTCCTTTATGAACTGATATCAGCACTGTATAAACTGTATATGGCATCAGCTACATACAGTGCTGTGTTCTGGTAGAGGTACGGGGACTTCCTAAATTGGGCTGAAGCTCTACTGAGCCATTCATAGGAAGCCTTGAATTTTTATGAAAGCATACAAGGCTTCCTCCGTTCAGCTGAGGTGGAGAGATGGGCGTATGACGTCACAATCCTTACCTCAACCAGTAAGGGGAAACCATGTATTCATTAATAAAAGTTAAATGGCTGCCATATTTATTAGTGGAGGAAATAGTTTCTCTGGACCAGTTTGATCCAAGCATACTACAGTATTTAAAAAGTTAAATGGGGTTTATATACACTTTAAAGCTTAACTCCAGCTTTCAAACAAAAATCCTAATATAAGTGTCTCGCCAGACCTTCGTTGTGGTGATTGCATTAGTTCTCCTTTTTCAGGCTTTTTACTTTTAAATTTCACATGATGGTCCTGCCAGTAACACTTTCTGTCCTAGAGTGGTAACGCTCACTCACTGCATTGTATATATGGAGAAGCAGTGCGGTCACTCTACTCCTCTCCATAATATTAACCCTTTCACGCCTAAGGGTAAAACAAATCTAAATGCCCAAGCACAATTCTGCAACGTTGACGTGTTAGTAACACCGTACATATCACAACTACTTTGTACATCCAGGTGGATTATACCTTGTTTTTTTCAGAACACATTGGGCTTTCATTTGGTGCTAAATGGTAATTGATAGTTTAATTTTTTTTTATTATCAAAAGGAAAAAAAATAATAAAAAAAACTGGCCCAAAATAGTAAAAATAAATTTTTTTTTTTTTTTTTTTTTTTTTTTTTTTTTAGCTGTGTGTTACGCCCATAACCTACCTCCATAGAACCAAAAATAAATTTTCCAGCTCTTGACGATCGCAGCGATACCATATATGTGTATGTTATTTGTACCCGTAGTACAGCCCAGAAACAATAGTGCGCATTATGTTTTTGTCTTTTTTTTTTTTTACCTAAAAACACACTGACATTAACGTTGACACGGATACCAATTTTTTTTTTTTTTTTTTTTTTTTTTTTTTTAAATCCTGACTGTTGACCTTGACCCAAACACTAACCCTGGTACTGAACTGGATCAAACCTTGATTTAGGTATTTTTCTTTATTCTCTCTTTTAACAAACATTTTTGTTATCTATGTCAGGAGTTAGAGAGAGATAATGCATCTCTCCTCTCCATTCATAGAGAGAAAAAACAAGGGGGCTGGGCTGCACAGTGACTGATCACTGTGATAGCCAATCACAGTAATCACGTGACCCAGAATCAGGAGTCCCGGGTCCCGATCGTTAGAACGCGACCCAGGGCTCTCAGTGACACCGCGGTCTCTGTGCTGGGAGCGCGCTGAGCGGCGCGCTCCCAGGACAAAGACAGGTACACAAATATGCGGCCCCATGGAAAAAAGCAGAGTTCCATAAGGCCGCATATTTGTGTGACATCGGCGTCAAGGGATTAAGGAGAGGGGATCTGTAGTCTACAAAGAAGTGGAAACATTGCTGTTAAGGTTCCATTTGCACAGGCAAGCCACGGTGCAGATCCCAGCGCCAAGAACCTGCCGATTCCTGTGGCAGGGATTGACAGCTGCGTGCAGAGCACTGAGCACCCTACAATGACAGGCTGTCAGCAGCCAGTTATTAGTGCTGCTCACACAGCCAGTGATTACCTGTGGTGATCGTCGCTGGACGCACACAAACCTCACAAAAATCAGTAGATATTTGCCATTGGGATTTGCAGTATAGCTAAAATGCCAGTGCAAATGGAGCCCAAGAGTGCAGTACAGGCAGAGCTAAGCCATCAGCTCACAAGATGTCTGGCAGGATCTGCAGGTTTTTTTTTTTTTTTGCACTTACTGAACAGGTACAAGACAAGTTCATAGTTAGGGTTTATATACACACAAGTCCCATTTAAACACACACCTAATTTTGAATGGCATTGCATCGCACATGCATGTGGCATGGGATGGGAATTCCATTGCGATGTTTTGGTATATTAGCAGCTTACAGATTTCAGGGTGCCTACCTTGACAAATTGTGTGTTATCACATCACAATCATGTAAATGGATCCTTAAGCCTAGCTTTCCCCCAACACCATACATTTGCCTTCCCTGCTGCTCCGTTCAGCACCCAGGAGTGAAGGAAAGATCCATGTAATCAATGACTGACTAAACCCTCCAATCATTTTCCAGCTTAGCCTCGGTTTCATTTTTAACTACCATGGTGCTGCACATGTGATCAGTTAGGACATCAGCCATTTGATCGTCTGATAGTTTGGTCGAGAGAACAAGCAAAAAAGTGACAGCAAGTATACTTTAATTTTTTTTTTACACTATTAAGTTGGTAGGTTTAGCGCCCCTTTAAACAAGGCTATGGACCTTCCCTTGTGACAGTACCAATCAGCCCAGCACTGTCATACGCAGCACGTTGTACCTTCCACCATACCAAAGTTTTTTCTTTGGCTCCCAGAACTGAATGGGGGAGCAAAGGAAAGGCAAGTATATGATGCTGGGGAAGAGAAGCTGGCAGGGGAAAATCAAACATGTTGCTTTGTTATGGATGGCTAAAGCACGGGTTTGCTTGGAGTTGACCTCCATACATACTGTAATCTGCAGCCTCAGGTCCACCAACAAAACTATAGAGCAATGATCTTTCTACAATTTAAGCAGTGCTTTACCCAATGTATATTCACATCAGTCCCAGCCCTCAATGAGATTACAATTAAAAGTCCCCATCTGACATGCATTCACACACAGAGCAAATTAACCTACCATCCTGTCTTCAGACTGTGCAAGGTAACCAGAGTTTCTGGCGGCAACCCACCAAAGCAGACAGAACATACAAAAACTCCATGCAGATGGTGTCCTGTTTGGAATTTGAACACCATTACACATTAAGTAGTACTTCTCTAAAAGATGCTAAAAGCACAGCACCACCCATAACAGACTGTTCTATTGTGACTGCAAGGAGCTGTGGATGAAAAAAAAAACACACACCACTATATAAAACAGGTAAATCGTACAAAGCAATAATTAGGTGGTTGGGGACTCACATCTTTGAGGACAAGTCTCAGCGGATATTTGATATCAGGGCACTCCAAGGTGATGGCAGGCGCAGACTTTCCAAAAAGCCTCTTGAATATGGCGAAGATGAGGTAGAAGGGGTACACCACGACCCTCCCCAACTGCAAAAAAACACAATCACAGGGCTCAGACTCCATTACCCACAGATGATCACTGCTTACACTTGATGGGGAAGTGACACATAACTTCCCCCGCTGCTTGTGACACGAGAATGATAACAATTTGTGATAATTTGATCATGTGACTAAACTGACAGATCATGGCCATCAACCCAAATCTGTTGCAGAATTTTTTTTCGTAGACAAATAAAAACATTTAACCCAACCCTGTCACTGCCAGAACCTTTTACATTTTGTTTGTACACATTAAAATGCACATTTCACAGCCTGATGAATACTTAAAGCGGAGTTCCACTCACCCCGTCAAAAAATTAAAGTCAGCAGTTACAAAAACTGTAGCTGCTGACTAAAAAAAAAAACAGCTACTTACCTGTCCCTTGACCCCGCTGTGTTTCCCCCACAGCCCGTTTCACCATCCGTCCTGTATTCCAGGAGGCCAGATCTTCATTGTGGGCACCCAGCTGTGATAGCTTTCGGCTTCACAGCCAGGTTCCCACTGCGCATGTGCGAGTAGCTCTGCTTTTCATGAATGGTCCTGTAATCTTCTGGGACCTGTCACGTGTCCCAAAAGACTACAGGAAGGGAGAAGGACACCTTCCGCTTCCGATCGCCTAGGCGATCGGACTGGAAGTGGGAGCAGGTACCTGTCAAATTTGGGTACCTGCTCCCCCCCCCCCCCCCCTCGCAGGTGCCAATCCTTAATGGGGAGCAGTCCTTAAAGCGGAACTCCCCATTTTGATTGGAGCTCCGCTTTAAAGTGGAACTTCACCCTCTCATTCAACACCATTTCAAAGCCTTATGCTGCATTAGTAAACCGATAAGTAAATATGATATACTTTCCAGTTTTAAACTTCCTGGTTTCTAGGCCTAGGCAAATTCTGTCATATCCCAGGTGTCTTCAGGAGGGGTTTTATCAGCTAAGTACACCCTCCTGCCTACATTCCTGAGCTAAGGGCAGAGGGTTTCCAGGAAGAAAGTGCTACATCAATTGAGTCTTCTTATAGTTCCTTCCTGCTGTCTGAGCAGGAAGGAACCATAAGAAGACTATCAAAGAAAGAACCAAGGGGGTCCATATATACAGTTGCAAGAAAAAGTATGTGAACCCCTTGGGATTACGTGGAGTTTTGCATGAATTGGGTATAAAATGTGCTCTGATCATCTAAGTCACAACAATAGAAGAACACAGTCTGCTGAACATAATACTACACAAACATTAGATGTTGCCATGGTTTAATTGCACATAACATGTAAACATTTACAGTGCAGGGAGGAAAAAGTATGTGAGGCCCTAGCTTAATGACTTCTCCCAGAGCTAATTGGAGCCAGGAGTGAGCCAACCTTGACTCCAATCAGTGTGATGATATTGGATGTGTTGCTGACAGCTGTCCTGCCCTTAAAAAACACACACCTGTTTTGGGTTTACTGGTTTCAAGAAGCACTGTCTGATGTGAACCATGCCTCGCAGAAAAGAGCTCTCAGAAGACCTACGATCAAGAATTGTTGACTTTGAAGCTGGAAAGGGTTACAAAAGTATCTCCAAAAGCCTTGATGTTCATGTGTCCACGGTAAGACAGACTGTCTACAAAAGGAGAAAGTTTAGCACTGTTGCTACTCTCCCTAGGCGCGGTCGTTCCGTAAAAATGACTGCAAGAGCACAGCGCAGAATGCTGCATGAGGTAAAGAAGAATCCCAGAGTGTCAGCTAAAGACCTACAGAAATCTCTGGCACATGCTAACATTTTTGTTGACACATCTTCAATAAGGAAAACATTAAACAAGAATGGAGTACATGGGAGGACACCACGGAGGAAGCCATTGCTGTCTAAAAAGAATATTGCAGCACGTTTGAAGTTTGCAAAAGAGCACCTGGATGTTCCACAGCACTACTGGCAAAATATACTGTGGACAGATGAAACCAAGATTGAGTTGTTTGGGAAGAACACACAACACTATGTGTGGAGAAAAAAAAAGGCACAGCACACCAACATCAAAACCTCATCCCCACTGTAAAACATGGCGGAGGGAGCATCAAGGTTTGGGGCTGCTTTGCTGCCTCAGGGCCTGGACGGATTGTCGTCATTGATGGGAAAATGAATTCCAGAGTTTATCAAGACATTTTGCAGGAAAACGTACGACCATCTGTCCGCCAACTGAAGCTCCGCAGAGGATGGGTGATGCAACAGGACAATGACCCAAAGCATACAAGTAATTCAACAAAACAATGGCTGCAACAGCACAGAATATGCCTTCTGAAGTGGCCCAGAGTCCTGACCTCAACCCGATTGAAATGCTGTGGCGTGAGCTTAAGAGCGATTCACACCAGACATCCCAAGAATATTGCTACACTGAAACAGTTTTGTGAAGAGGAGTGGTCCAAAATGACTCCAGATCGTTGTGCAGGTCTGATCTGCAGCTACAGGAAACGTTTGGTTGAGGTTATTGCTGCCAAAGGAGGGTCAACCAGTTATTAAGGCCAAAGGTTCACATACTTTTTCCTCCCTGCACTGTGAAGGTTTACATGTTATGTGCAATTAAACCATGGCAACATCTAATGTTTGTGTAGTATTATGTTCAGCAGACTGTGTCCTATTGTTGTGACTTAGATGACGTTCAGAGCACATTTTATGCCCAATTCATGCAAAACTCCACGTAATCCCAAGGGGTTCACATACTTTTTCTTGCAACTGTACATCTATTTGTTTGCTCAGTATTTGCATGACTGAAGGGCACTGATATATCAAATATGTTCCATAATATATGAGTTGTGTGGGAGATCCTTTTGGAGTTCTCTGAGCAGTGGAAATCCCGATTGTGGAGGATATTGAATATCCACAAAGCACATTTGACTCTTAATCCTATAGAGTCCAATATATTTGGTGAGTGCGGTATATGTTGCATGTCACGGATGGTGTGAACACATTGAAGAAGTTTCTTTATACAACACCGTTCTGCAGAGTTTGGAGCATGTTGGTTTTGAACATCTTATTTTCTTGGATTGGGGCTTCTTATTTTGTTACACATTTATTTGGACACTTTTTATAATTTTTTAGAAAAAAAAAAAAAGTTTTCACGTATTGTATTTATTAATTTGTGCGCTGTGTTTTCACTTTACAATCATATCAAGAGTCTATAAATGTGCATGCGATAAGTGAATGCTGCAAAGGTTGTATAGAACCAACCATCTGGAAAGGAGTAAGATCACTGACCAGACATTAGTCAGAATGTGCTGCTGGATCCAGTTAGCAGATGTAGTTTACTTCGGAGAGGAAGAAGTAAAAGAACCTCTACATTAGGGAGGTGAAGAGCAGTATCAGAAGAGGAGAGGAAAGGGAAGAAGGAGAATGACCTCAAAAAACACTCCGGTCAGGACCCCAATTTTGGCACCTACAAAGATGAATGCTTACTATGGGCATCGAGGGGTGGGCATATAGTAATCAACGGGTCTATACCATGAGGTATTTATGTGCATCTACAAGAACACTAGTAAGTTTTTCACGGACAAGAAAACCACTAAAATGTTGATGAGGACAAGGGCCTCTTCCTCACAACCCTGGCCTAGTGGTTTTGGGGGTCTGCAAGCAGAGGGCTTACTAGAATCTGGAAGCCCCTTTTAATGAGGGGGGCCACAGACACCACCCCCCCACCATTTGACTGTGAAAAGATAATATACCCCAACTCGTTCACTAAGAATTACAGTATTTTTCGCTCCATACGACACACTTTTCCCCTGCAAAAAAATGGGGGAAAATGTCTGTGCGTCTTATGGAGCGGCCAGACTGGTATTCTTGCCGCCGTGTTAGAATACCGGGCCGGCTGCTTGGCTCTACTGTGCAGAAGAACCTGCTGCTCGGTCCAGCGGTGTCCTGCTTTCACTGGCAATCTTCTCTCCCCAGCATCTTCAGTGTGGGCACCCGGCTGTGACAGGTTGCAGGTTCACAGCCGGATGCCCACTGCGCATGCACGAGAAGCGTTTTGCTTTGTGAATGGCCACCTGTAGTCTTCTGGGACCTGTCATGTGTCCCACAAGACCAGCGGGAGGACAACTTTGCGAAAGTGGGAGCGGGTACCTGTGAAAGTTGGGTACCAGGCCCCCCCCTCCCCAAAGGTCCACAGTCCCTGGTCCTCGCCTGCGCTAGGTCCGCAGTCCATTGGTTCACAATATTTTTTTCCTTGTGTTCCTCCTCTAAAATCTAGGTGCATCTTATGGAGCAAAAAATGCGGTAAATACCACGAGTATCAGTGTGGTATGTTTTTTTTTTTTTTTCTTTTCTTTTTTGTGAATTGACTCCCAGGGCCATACAGATGCCGTGCCCATTACAAGGGGCTCCCATCATCCTTGCTGGGTTTGCATTTTATATTATGGGGAATGTAACAGCGGTTGGAACATACAAGGAGAGTAGGAATTTTGGCAAGAGATCTCACAAGGCTTCATCAACCAATCATTTTCCAAAGCTTCTAGGTGGCTTTAGGTTAATGCTCCAATTTTGCTCTGTCATGGTCATGTAAAGGTGCCACCGAAATCAGGCTATCACTGGCATCTCTTCAGAGGTGACATCATTGGGATTTGTGCATTTGTCACACAACGGACAGATAAAGAGCTGCATCTGTTTTACAGGACAAGTGTTGTGATGAATATAACCTGCTCACCCAGCAACAGGCACACACATCCAGATTTAGATGGGACTTTCCACCTACATACAATGTGTATATTTAGCCCCTGTACATGACATACGGAGATTATATATTGGAGAGCTTCTGTCCATTCCTGACAGGTGAGGCTCAATCAAATAAAGTGTATCTGTCACATACTGAAATAGATGCACCATGTGTCTGGCACCCAGAAGCCCTTCAAATCCCAGACCCACACCTTGGGTATCCTCAATTTTCTCTGGCTTAATATCCAAAACAAAACCATTTTCCCCCTAGTTTTGAAAGTAGAATTAAAGCCCTTTTAGGTTTCTACCACTGTTGACTGTTGTCACCAGAAAAGAAATTGTTGGGAAATACAAAATTTCACTA